ATTCAGGCAATAGAACTAATACTGATGCTAAGCTTTTACCATGTTTAATTACAGAGAAATATGAAACAGATGAAAGGATTATATTCAAACTTGCTCGCCAGTATGGCAGATTAGAAAACATGTTTTCGATTGATGAACTTACTAATTTGAAAATGGTTTGTCCAGAAGATTAACTCGAATTGCTATTAATAATTTACCATCTATAACATTTATAGAAGCCTGCAAACTCTATGTTCGTGGTTCGAAAACTGGTCTCACGTGTGATTGTAAAGGAAAATGCCCTACAAAGCATTGTCCATGTACAAAAAAAACGAAACACACTGTTCTACAAAATGTCACTCTAAACGTGGTGGTTGTAAAAATATGGGTATTTAAATTTAGGTGTTGATTTTTTACTTGTGTAACGAAACAAAGCGATATTGTTTAATAAATTGATTTATTAATATACTCTGTTTTAATTCTTTAGATTGTTTAAACTTTTCTCTGGTTCATTCTAATTTTGTCCGGTCAAATTTGAGATCCCAGTTTCGTCTGGGCAGACTTGGAACTCCAAGTTTGCCCAAGAAAATTCTAGTCTAATTTGGAATTCTAGTTTTGCCCGGTCAAATTCTAAATTTGACCAAATCTCAATTTTGCCCCCAACATATATATAGAAGAGTATGTGGATGCCTTCTCTTTACGCTGAACTCACATCCATCTGTCAAATATTTGGAATTTTTAATAATACCTTGAGAATGTAAATGATGTTTCTAAACGAAAGTTCGTTTATTTAAATTTATTAATAAATGATTTAGACTACAAAAATAAACATGAAATTCTTATTTAAATATTAGTTTAAACAATTCTTGACGAAATATACGTCCTGTAAGTGTATAAATAAAAAACATCATTGAATTGTTGATATAAGTTATTAGAATAACAAATTGTGCCACAAAATTCTCAATTTCTTTATGTTGCAATGATTTTTCTGTACGTGCAGTTAATGAAGCATAGAATTTGTAAAAGCCCATTGGTGAACAAAATATTATAATAGTACCAACCTAAAAATTAGCCATCGTTTTTTTTCTACTCATTGATATTTTCACTTTGACTTACTTGGACAAATAACATCGTTATAATTTGTAGATCTTGTTTCCGTATCTTTGTATTAACTCCTGACGAAAAATTGTCTTTGATTGCGTTTGGAACGATCCTTGTTGATATATTTTGTGTCATCGATGTATCTAATCTTGGTTCAGTTTTCACTGATCTTACTTGTCGTCGACTTTGTCTTATATTTTTCAATGTTAAAAAACCAAACGTAATCATTAATACGATTGGAATTGTTGTATAAAAGATCATTAATAAAAGACCATCAATAATTTGACATTGAACTGAAATTGTATAACATGATGCAACTGAATTGAGATTTCCATTATTAAAACAATAAATTGTTTCAGCAAAGATGAAACATCCAAGAATAATTACAGTTGAAATAGCTCGATAAACTATTTTTTGCTTACAAAAATTTCGAAGAAAAACAGATACTGATGAACTACAAAAACGATCGAAACATCCCAGAGTAATAAACCATGATGTACAATAAAGACAAAGATACGACATAAAATATCGTATTTTGCATAATGTTGATGAATATGATGTATAATCAAGATTATATCCATTTAGTAAACGACTCATTAGACCAATATAAAGTGTTAATACACTTACAATTGATGTTGATAATAAATATTGCACACAAGAGTTTTTTCTTAAAGTTTTACGAGTAAAAATAAGAATATTAAGTATATTTCCAAATGTACCAAATATAAGAAGTGGTATTGGAAAATACCGATTTATTGCCGATGCGTTATATGTCCAGTATGATGGATAAGATGTATTAGACATTTTGTCTTATGTGTGTAAAATCTAAGTAAACAAAATTCATCAGAAATGAATATTTCTATAATTTTTGAACAATATATAATTCGTTATTGTATTCTCAAATCAGAAAAGACAAATTCAAACTCACGAACTTTGTTCAAAATAGAGTCTTTGCTACACGCACTTGGAATATTTACCACTTTGATATCAAAAGTATGATTAGCAAAACAGAATAATGAATGACTACAATGCTCTTATGATAGTAATTTTAAAAAATTAAATATATATAATAGAGTATCCATCATCTGGAAATAAAAAGTACTTCTTGATCTGTACTCATCTCAAAAGTACATCTTTCTTTGTAAAAAGGAATTATTTCAATACAAAAATAGTTTTTTTTAAACTTTTCAAACAGTAATTATGAGAAGCGCATCTTGTGATAAACAAGTAGATTTTCATCTATGCATGTTGTAATAATACTTCTTAATTACAATTAATTTCTTTTATTGAAGTTCCAACTTTTTACTCAGATATATGAAGATTTTTGTTTTCTACCACATAATTCAAAAGGAAGGAAACAGACTTATATAATCATTTTCTCTTTCAAATCTATATTTCATTTAGAAACAAATTACATTATTTGATGACTGCAGAGAGGGTTGAATTGAAAAGTTTCAAGTTTGACAGTACTGATATTACTCAAACATGTACTCGAGCAGATGAAGAAATTGAACTACTGAGTATTTGATCCAATCTGTTCATCGTAGAATTGTTGTTTCTAACAAAAAGAAGTACTTTTAACGTGTTAGGATGAAATGATAACGTTTAAGACTTCTTCGTTTACTGTAGATAAATCCTATAAATGCTAAACAGGCAAGAATTGCAACGATAAGAAATAATCTAGTCATTGATTGAATTTCCACTGCTGTTGTTGTTTGAATATGATTAGGGCAAAGTTTTGTTTGAAACCATGTTACTTTCAAATTATGATTTTGTTAGCGCATTTCATAAAAAAGATCAACGCATCGGATCTAAAATATCTAGTTGATAGTTCGATACCGAGAGAAGAGCAAGATAGTCGAAGAGGTTGATCACCTAATCAACGATTTCCTTTTAAAAAACAACATCCCCGAGCAACAGCCTATTTAATGATGAAACATACTGAATATCGTGTATGAATTCTTTATGATCCTCGAATATCTCGGCGAGATCGTGAAGACACTCGAGCACGATATTGTTGAGCTATTCTCTCACACTTTGTATGCCTTGGAAAACTGTATATAATCTCTGTGATGTGAATCAGAATTGGAAAAATGCACTTAACTCCCGTCAGCATCAGATATATGCGCACTCGTGAAATATGATCGATAATATTCAAATTTTACATGAATGTAAGTCAGACCGAGATGGATACTTAGTGAGAGTGATTATAAAAGTTCAAATTGAGAATGACATAATCGATCCCGAACTATTTCCAAAAACAACAAAATGCATACGATGAATATGATGATACAACCGACAGTGAAGATTTATTTGATTTGCTCGGCAGTTTAAACTATTACAGTACAGTTGTGATGAACAGCACAAGAAAATCAGCAGAACATGTATATATTGAAGAAGCTATAGAAGCTGTAGACAAAATGAGACGATTCTCTCATACAGACTCAACTTTAAAATAATATTATTTTCTTGCACCACCAAATCAAATTTGGATAAATGCATTATTTGCTAATAATTATCAGCAAATGATACCATTTGTTCCTTCAACATCTGATCCCGTGCGACTCAATACTCATTGACAAGAGCAACTGAAAATTGAAAGAGAACGAGTTAGACAAAATTTAATCACTGGCAAACATTATAAAACAGCCAATGAGTCAAATAATGATGATATGGAAGATACAGTTATAATACTGATAAACCAAACTAGTTCAAACATAAACATATCTGATAATTATAACTCAATTCTTCCAGTTGCTTAGTAACAAGCACGACATATTGTAATCAAAAGATCATTGCTGATCAATACACACTAAACAGAGAGCAAAGAGTTGTATTCATGATAATCACAAGTCATTTTGATGGTGACAAACAGTCACTTGCAGGTATGTTCATGCATATAGCTGTATATTATCGTCAGTTGAAAAAGATATCATCTATCTAAGAGATAACAGCGACCAACTTATTCGTGCTGTTACTATATATTTCCTTGTTACAGACAGCATACAAAAGATGCGAAAGCTAGCGCCTACCTATCCATTCATTTTTAGGCGAAAAACGTAATTCTGGAAAGCCACGAGCTATTAAGCCGAGCGAATTAAAACTTGAAAAAGAATGGACGCTTGTAGAATATCTCTTGATTAATGAAATGAGTGTGGTTGGTTTGACTTTACTCGGAAAACACAATCGAATTTTTGTGCCACTAGACATGCCAATCCGCAAATTCGATTAGGTGGTATAAACGTTATATTATTTGGTGATTATTTATAGTACCGGCCCGTATACGATACCTCGTTATACACTGACTTTTCGCCGGAAAAAAACAAGAAATTTAATAAATTACCTTCGGAAAAAGAAATCCAACAACGTGTTGCACGTTCTTTAATTCTACAAACGAATTGTGTGGTCAAACTTATTCAACAGATGCGAACAGAAGACTCACGATATCTTCACTTACTTGAACGACTTCGTCAAGGTCAATGTAGTTATGAGAAGATCATGAATTATTAATGACGCGCGTTGTGGGACAGCCAACCGTATCTCTTCGTGAACCGCCATGGAATCAAGTAAGATATATTTCTCTACTCTAAATAAACATATTTTCTCTGTTTTTCTTTGTTTTAGGCTCCCATGCTTGTATTTAGAAATGAAATACGAACACAATTGAACCACAGATCGGCAATTCATAATGCAATACAAACAGTTTGTAATCCAATGGTATCTGTTGCTCAGGACTTTTGAAAAAGGCAAAGCTGTAGAAGAATCAACATTTGTAAAAGAATTATTGGAATTATCTGACAGTAAGACTGAACACTAACCAGGTTTGTTACCGTTAGTTCCTGAAATGTCAGTTATTTTTACGCAAAATATTGCTATTGAACTGGGATTAACTAACGGGCATGAATGGAATCTTTAGACAACTAGTTTACGATCCTGATTCAGTAATTAAGAAGAAAAAGAAAGGCAACGTTATCGATTGAGCGACGTGCACTACCTCTTATACTCGCCTATTCTATCGCTACCCACAAAAGTCAGGAACGAACTCTAAACAAAGTTATAATTGATTTGAAGTTACCGAAGGATACAGATGATATCGCTGCAGTCTATGTAACATTATCAAGAGTGAAACGTTTAACTGACTTAATTATTTTGCAACACTTTGATTACAAAGTCTTCCAGATCAAACTCAGCAAATCTCAAGTAGCCGAGATGCAAAGACTAGACAAACTCTACATGGAAACACAGACGCGTTTTTCAGAATGGTTTTGACAAATTTAATAGACAGCGCACAACATCTATTGCTTGTCATCCGTTTTGCGCACCTGATTTATTTGCGTCTCTTGTGACTGTACAAATCTCTTGCATAATTACAACTTTTTTATCCGTTCATGTTGTTTTTAATCAAAGTGCAACTTTTCTTTTCAATTTTACTGTGGCTGCTATATTTTGATTCACGCTTCTTATACGTACTCGCTTATATTCCGTATTCACTTCTTTGGACACTAGCTAAACCGTATAGAATTACTTTTTTTCTTTTATGTAGCTGGACATTATATCACCCACGTATCTTTATTTCATTGAAAAACAAATAAATAAACTTCATGTTGGAACGCATTTTTCTCTTACGTTAAATAAAAACAATAACAAATTGATTATATGTTGATCTTTTCAGTCGACGGTAATGCGAGTCACTCTCGGCGAATGTTATTTGTTTATCAGTTCTTTTGATTTTTTCTTTTTCTGCTTTAATAATAATCACATTTGCAAAGAATCTATATCTTAATTACTCGTGTAACAGTAACATTTCCTTTGTCCTTATTCGTTTGTAATGAATTTGGTCTAGTATTTCGGTAAGATGATGAATGTTTTGATGGAACAACGGTATTCAATTTTCGAACAACTGATACTGAAGTGTTTTGATATTTATCGGTGATAATCTTATGTCCAGTCAGTGATCGTGTAAGATTTTTTGTTGATGTAGACAATCGTTTGATCGTATTGACACACACTGGACTTCTTCGTTTCGTTATTGATAATGAATGATTTTCACTAATTCGAATCGAGGAGTTGAAGTCCATTGTTACTGGCGTTTCTGTTTTAGAAAAATTTATTGAAATTTCACTAGAATCTGTGAACGAAGATATTGATGATCGTTCGACAGGTGTAATACTGACATCATCGACAATATCTCTTTGAGGCAGTTCGTCATCAATACTGTTGATTGGAAGATCGTTACTGACCCTACTTTTACATGCTAAATCGTCTGCTGAAGTTATAATTGTTGCCCTACTCTCAGATGAAGAACGATCTGGAGGCTCAATCGTAGTCATTCTTGTAGGTTTTCTTGATGAAACCTTCTTTGAATGATAATTTTGAAGGGCCAAATGTTCACTCGTCGATATCTTCTTTCGTTTACGGTGTGGGCAACGTAAACGACTGGAACGACTAAAAAAGAGATTAAATACACAAGATCTTATATTAAGAAACTAAACATACAATAACCACCAATAACAACAAAAGCATAAAGCGCTTAAAACTAATAGGCCCAAAATGAACCCAATAATAGGCCGTAGATCAATTAATTTGTTTCCAGTTTCTGCAACGAAAAAAAGCAAATAATTTGCTTAATAAGAATTCTTATAGAAATTACGTGTAATTGATTGTGTTGTTGTTGTTTCACCTGGACCTAAATCATACAGTATAAAATCAATAATAAATTGAAGAAATCAATATTTTCCCTACACCGAAGAGAAGATCCAGTAGGTACAACAAAAAATGTGAGACAGTACTGATCTGATGGTATACCTTCACTAAAATTATATGAAGAACAAGATTATACGAGGATTTCTATCAGGGAGAAAATTTATTTGAATACCTATCGGTAGCTACAGCACAAAAGACTTGAGATCCCAACTGATTAGAAGCTGGAATCCATGTTTCATCTATCGTCCAAATATTAGATATTCCAACTCTTCTCAAAACTCCTTTGTACATATATAAAGGTGGATTGGTATTTACATCAGTCACATTGGTTCCGAAACATCCAACAGTTATATTTAATGTAAAACGAAACTGAACGCCAACTTCAATATTTGTACATTTTGGTAAAATGGAGCTGATTGTTGGTTTTAATGGACAAGTTGGCGTACTAACAATTTGAATAAGAAATTGTATTGGAACACTACTCAACGGTATTAATGAAGTTGCATTGCTAAAATCTTCAACCGTCATTGCTACAACATAGTAACTTCCCATTGTTTTGCCAGAACTATTGAATGTCAGTATGCAATTAGTTGAATCTATAGTACCACCTGGTACTGCTTCGCAAAGTAAACCACATTCATCAATTGTTGATGTATTCGCACTCCAACGGCATCTACAACATAGGATTATTTATTTCGAAAAGTTTTAAGCAATAAAACATACCTCAAATAATCAGCATCTGCATCAATAATCGGTATTTTTATATCAGTTGTTGTGTTAATTGGCACTTTCACCGCTGAAAATAGATTCATAGCTAACAAAAAGTCAATCTCATATCTCTACAGACGTGAAATCACTGTTGCAACTGGCGGTGTATTGATAAATCCATTTGATCGTACTGTTAAATCAAGACAAGATACAATTGACCAACCAGCACCACCAATAAAGCAACCACCAACACATGCCATTGAATATACAATCGGCCAAGAAGCATCTCGAAATGCTACACAAAACTTTGCTCCAACTGTGATACTCTGAATTGTTGCAATTTGTGTTGAACTGGAATCCTGCACAACACTGAAATCAGTACAGTATCCATTTATTGAGATAGGCACGTAATTGGCACAAACAGAGCTAACACATGAAAGTGTTTGCCCTGAATTTGGTATCTTAGGTAATTGATTCATAATTATAGTTTGATCACAATAATCGTAGGCATTAGGTATGGAAATTGAGCGTTTGAACTGATATGATTGTGTGAACATCACCGGAATCGTTGAACCTGTTGCTGTATTATTCATTGGTTTCCAGGTTATAGTTCCACCATAAAAATGAGATGATTTTGCGATTGAGATATTCAAAAGCAATAGAATAATCACTTTAATCAACATCATTCCTATTCTGACAGACAATCTCTGCTTTGATTACAAATATATTCGATTTTATGTTATAGAACGTATTATTTTGTAAAAGAAATGTGAGTTGTTGTGTAAATATGTACGTATCAATCTCTCTCCGACTTCTGACATAATAGAATAAATTTCTTCTGTGTATCTATCTCTTGAACAATAGAATTTCATTTTTCTAATTTATTTCGAAATATCAATACAAGGATTCATTTTTATTAATAATAACCTTGCAATCTTCGATGTTCTTTTCTAAACATTCGCTGAAAAGAATTCTGCTACCAGTAAGGAGTAGGCGAATGAATTAATGTAATTATACGGATTCTACAATAATAAATATGAAAGGTACATGTTGTTTGTACCGACTGGTATCAGAGTTTGTACTTTAATACTGTAACTTTTGATAATTCTAAAAGTACGGATATAAATATTCGTATGCATCAAAACTTAAATGATATGAGAATGCAGAGTTGATTATTGATGTTCATTTCACCTCGTCACTCGAACAACATCAACCAACTGCAATGCCCCTATGCTACATTTTCCTAATACTAAATAACGGTAATCGGAAGCCAAAATTCCTCTGACGCATACGATGAGTATACTAAGTTAGAAATGCTCAATACTTTATTATAAAAAAAAACAAAGAAGCTACACAAAACCAAACAAAACATTATTAACGCAATAATATTCGACTATTTTTGTGATTGAATGAAAATTGATGGATTATTTGTTCAAAGTCAAGTTCCAAATCACGTTCGATCGATAAAACATAAGGATTGCTTAGTCTTTCATCAATCATTGTAGTTCTTATACGTGATTTGATTATTTTCATTTTTCGAAAAAAGCACGCTCACGTATTGTTGAAGATATTGAAATTGTCAAGGCAGCTTTTATCATAAAAAATATTTATGGGAATGCTTGTTGGAATGGCATAGTTTCAGCATATAAACCAGTTATATTGGGCATATTTTTATTTTTCAACACTGTTTTTAAAACTTCGATACCATTTAATAAATGAGCTAAATCACATTTAATAGGTTACAGGAATTTCGGTCCTAATTTATTATTAACTGTAACTAATTAGTCATTAATTATCAGCTGTCTAAAGCTGAGCGGTATGAATGGCGAGAGATCGCATTTACATAAACTGACCTAGTGTTGAGAATACGTTTTTATTTGCTATAATTCAAACGACTGTCTGAAATGCTATTGCGTTGTTCATAACTATTAATTAAAATATATACTTCATTTCAACATCAGACAATTTAGAAACTATTTTTAGGTAAGTAATGTCTAATAATCTATCCTGATCTATGGAGCGAGGAAACTTAATTTTCGTCCATTGATTTATTTAAATTCTGACGAATGTCTTTGAGTAAATAAACAAATGACTGGATCAAGTTTAATAAGGCCATCATTTCTAGCAAGACTCAATAGAGTACCATCTTCAAATGTATATCGAATATGATTTTTATTGAAAAGACCATCGGTGACTTGAACAATATCATAAAGTTTATCGACTTAATCATCAGTTAATTTTTCTTTGACTAGTGTTTCCATATTTATTTCCTTGATTGTCACATTCAACATTCATTTGAAAAATTAGTAGTAAATTCATGATTAAATTCGAATCTTGTTTCCCTCCTATATCTATTAGAAAGATTCCATCAAAAAGATTCATCATGATTTACCAGTCACTTTTTGAAGATCTATAATAACATCAATGCATCGAACTTGAAACAATAACATCCGGTTTTATACAAAATAAAGGCAACGGAAGTTGGTCAAGTTTAAAGATAACACGAGAGAAAAACGGTGACAGATCATTTAACGGATAAAGGAGAAACAAGACAAAGATGTTTCTCGATTAAAAGCAACTTTAAATCTGTTCCATCGGAATAAAATAGTATTCAATCCTTATCTGTCACGCTTTATAAATGTTAAAGATCATCCATGTATTAGGACTATTATTTTCGTGGTAAAAACATAGTTATGATAGAAGACTGCCTCGGATCACCGGACTCTAGTCTGACTTTATCAAACATATTATTATAGAAATTCTGTTGTTGAAAAAGTCGAAGATTTTAAATAAAAAATTGTGATAAATTATCGAATCTAAATAAATGTAAATGTGAAAATGAAATAATTGATATTCTTACATTTTGAATAGAATTCAACTATGACGAATATTCCACCTGAAATACGTCATTATTTCAAACTCGAATTATTGATTTCACGTTCATGTATAGTATACTTCGTAATCTATTTAACAATCGTTATCCAGTATTCTACAATGGTCAAGTATGGGTAGATTCATCAACATGTGGAAACGATTACTTAAGAAATGTTATTGTAAAAAAACAAGAAAATTAGTTTAACACCTGCACAAAAGACATCGGTTTCGAATGGAAATATAGATGAACGGGATATATGAACATTCTCTTCGACTTTATTGTTCAGTATTCGTCCACAAACGTTGAATCTGAATGAAATACAAGAACTTGTTCAAGAAGATAAACTCATAGCACAATTAAAAAATATACGAAATAAATTAGTTCATCATGCGTCAAAATCTGTTGATAATACGGAATTTAATCACATTTGACGACATTATTATTGAAATCGACAGACTGAAGAATGATACTGTATTTGATTTATCAAAAAATAAATAAATGAAGAAAATACTAACGAAGCATTACGTTTAAATCATTGAGTATACACGCTTATTCAGATGGAAAGTACTCCGAAGCAATCAATTTTTTTTATTAAAGTAACAGTTTTACCAGATGTTTCAGATCATGATCGAGCTATTCTCTTTTCAAATGTGGCTACAAGTCGATTAGCATTGTGGAAAGCATATTATCGAGTGGGAAAAATCTATGCTGCATTGGATGATCACGAAAAAGCAATTAATTCATTTGAACGAGCATTTGCACTTGATCCGACAAAACAAGAACTATACTCCTGCATAAACACAAATAGACGCTGATTCATCACGTGTTAAATAATGTCTCGAGGAAAAATAGCAACATCTTTTTGAGACTATGATCAATTGAGAGTAAACGACCAATTTGATTTAGAACTTTTTCTATAATGGAGCTAATTCTCGAAAATCTTCTCAATGAGTAAACGATATCACCAAAACGATTCAATTACAAAAGATTTTCTTAATTTTAAAAATAAAATGAAAAGATTTACGTAAGAAAACAAATCTTTGACAAGAAGAGAATATCTCTTTTTTATTTTATACTTTTCGTTTTTCGAGTGTATTTCAACAAAAAGGAGAAATTCTCTTTTCAATCGATCTGAATATTGAATCGTGTATTACATCTCTCACCCACGCCTAGGAAATATTGTCTGATGCAAATTCTATCAATTCTTGCTCAATTCATGTCGTCATTCTTACAAAGATTGCATCATTCTACTACACACTTATATAGAGAAACTACCGTCGAATTGATTCGTAACAAATGCATTTTGTTGACACAGCTGTGATCTCGACTTGTATTGGAAATATGAATTTCCATCATCAGTTTTACATTCAGAGTTAAGATCTCAGACTTCACAGCCTTTTGGTTAAAACATATTGATGAAGATCTTCGGAAGTTTCTGCTGCGTATTGCTATTCATGTTTCAGATTTTTTTTGTTTAATACAGACTATTTAGCATCCTCAGATGTCTTCTACTGATCTGGAAACATTACCAAATGAATTGCAGATTATCATAATGAAATATCTCTCTATTGGTGATCGTTATTTGTCACTTTTTGGATTAAATTCTCGTTATGATGAACTATTGGGATGCACCATTCCATCGAAAATTAACGAAAAATACTTGGAATCGGATATTAACGATGTTAGCAGATATTCACATAAAAAAATCAAACCTGACTGGAATCCAACAAAACTATTTTATTTAATTCCTACTTTCGCCCATCGCACAACTCTCGGATGGCTAGACGATGGTATATTACAACTACAATGGAAATTTATCAGTGAAAAAAATTTTCCACGTTATATACAACAGCAACAAAATGTAGATCCTCGACTATTTGAAATCAGCTCAAAATATCCAGTTCAATTAAACTCACTATTTTTTCGTTCGTATGATTTCCATTGGAAAACTCGTGATATGTTAAACTTTCCAGTATTTCTTGTATGGATCTACGAAAATTATTCGAAACAATGTACTATGTTACAACAATATTGTGAACAAATGATGAATCAATCATATTATTACAATAATCATAATGAACCACGTCGTCGAACTTTCGTTCAAATTCAGAACTTCGAAGTTAAACGACAAACACCGATAATCTATCAACAAGCTCAAAAGATTTGGACCGAACTAAAAACGTTGGGAGATTTTAATTATTCTGTACTCTAATCGAGTAACAAAATCTACCAGGAAAAAAACATTTTACATCTCTGCTATATCAGTTTTTATTTGATTTATTATCATCGAGAAAGATTTTTGATGCTGTGTGATTACATTCTTTTAGTAGACGTTCGGTGGCAATTACACTGGAATGTTTCATATATTAGAAGAAATAAAATCAGTAATATCCATTGTGTATCAGATAAAGGAACAAAGCGAAATATTTATGTGTATTAAATAACAGATGATGGACAGATTTTGTACACTCTCACTGTATTAAAATCTTTTATGAAATAGTTTTCAACTTTTTTTCCCTATGCGTATGACGCCAATTATATGTAGGGTTTCGACTTTTGCTATGATTCATGATTACCCTGGTTTTTTCCTTTAGCCAAAATATACATATACTCTCAGTTTTCACAAGAGACGATTAGCTACCATGAAACGATCTTTATCAATTAAAGTCTTGACGATCTATTTTCCTAAATTATTTCTTTTTTAATTATAAATAAATAACACCAAGTAGGTGTGTTCGTGGTATACAGAAGATGAGCTGGGTATGTGTCGTTTAGTGATAAGATAGTTGGAAACCTTTGACTACAGATAGAGATGAAGAAAAAAACCTGAGAACATATCTATTTATATTTCATGCAGGAAGAAATAAAAGTGTGGACGTATTATGTCATACAACAACTGAATAAAATTTTTTCCGTACGTATTTGCAGATAATGCTTTTTATTATAGTTACAGCGACCCCTTGGGTCGATTCCATCAGCAAACACAGATGCGACTACAAGATATGGACCTAGATTTTATTTTAGGAAAATGCGTATCCATGAAAAGATTCGTTGAGTTCTACTGATGATACAGAAAAGGAATAGCATCTCGTTTTTGTATGCACATCTACATGGGAGTGTTCAATGGTTCTGGGAAATCAATTGATAAGGATGTTTGTTCATGTTCTAGATCCGTTCCCTCCTGTGTTGAACACTAAATGTTCGCAATTGTCTTGTACATCTATTGATGAACATTTGGACGATTTACAGTTAACAGTTTTATAGGAACCACAGTATGTCGTCTATGCCAAAATTGTATTGCATTTCGACATTTAATTGATAATTCCGGTAATGATATGACACATGCAAATGGAGTGAAGAATATAACCCAATGAACAAAAAAGATCGCGTCACTATAATATTCGGCTGCCACAGTTCGTGGTAAGCCACCTGAATAAGCGGCATACATAATCATCGGGGGTAATACTAAAACAGTATAAAGGAAAGATATTGGAAGTAATTGATATGCCATTTTCTTATAATTTCTCCAGTCGATTCTTTGATGGATACGGTATTTTTGACACAAAACACGTACGAAAAGTGCTGCACTAAATATAACAATCGTAAATGCAGGTAAAATACAATGTGCAATACTGTCATATAATGAAATCTGAGGAATACGAGTAACGCATGAATAACAACCACATTGTTTAGTTGTGAATTTCAATGGAATGTCACAAGGAACAATGTAGATCATAATAAAATAAAATATTACAGGATACAAGATACACATCATCAAAGGAATATAATGAAAGATAAAACGTTTCATTCTTGTTGCTAACCAATCAGAATGAAAAACCAAAACATGACGTTCGATCGATGCCCAAGTCATCAAAATATAGTTTGAGACGATTGTTATTGAATCCATAAATGCCCAAGTACAACAGAAGACAGTTGTTGATACTGGAGCAATACCATTACGATAAAAATAAATGTTCCACACAACACCAGTAAGTTCTTCAATCAATCCAACGAATAAAAGAAGTATAATAACATGATTATGAAGTGCTGTTCGAAGTGCTTTGTGTTTGAGAAAATAACAAAGAACAACGACAGTAACGATCAGAGATGGAATAACAGGCACTAATTGAAGCCAGAAACGTATATAAGCGGGTATTGCCATATGATATTTATATTAACAGTCAAAACTCAACGGAAAATAAAAAATACTTCAAATGAATGAATATGTCTTTCTAAAATATATCTCAAATGAAAATATAGAAACTTTTCATAAGAAAAAGACAACATTTCTCCTGTGTACGTATACATTTTCTGATTCGTATATGGTAAATACAAATACAACTTAGCGAGTATTTAACAGTACATTTGATTTATTCGTGAATCTAGGCTATTAATATAACATCTTTTATTATTTTATGAAAGCTTTCCTTAATTTATGACATAGAAGAACGATATTATGCATCGGCGGACCGGCAAAAAATTTTCAGGGGAGGGGGCAATTGCTCCTCCCCTCCCTCCGGCCCGCCGATGATATTATGTCTTGGAATCTGGTTAAGGTATAAGGTAATGAAATGAGGAGATTTTAAACAATAGAAAGATCTAAATGAAATATCTAAAGCAATTTTCCGCGGCAATCCTGAGTCCTATGTTTATCCGCTAATCAACACAACTGAATTAGAAACTTCTGAAAAGCTACTTTTCTCAAATTTTGTTCTAGATTACGGAGGCTGCGAAAATGCGCTGAAACGAGTAATACATTGTGAAACATTTCAAAGTTAATTTAAAAACTTTTTCACACAGAAAACATCGTCTTATTTTGATGTGTCATAATTCTACTCTTAGTAATGATATTTGCTTATGGATTGTTTGTCATTTCAATCATATCCCAGCCAGACAAGCAGCAGAAAAAAAACGCGTGAAAACGTCAAGGTTTTAACGGAAAAAAATCGGGCAAAGCGCACATCTTCAAGAGTTAATACTCGTTGACACGGTGTTTTAACGAGATTTCAGTGCGTTTTGTGAGAAGTTTTGCGTGTCTGGAATACACTGCAAAGAAGGATGTGGGGTGAGGGTGAGCGCTATCGCTGATCGAAACTGGCATTCACATTTTCATCCTCATTGAAACTAAAACTCATGAATACAGCCAATCGATTTATTGACAATGTAAAAGATTGTAACGATGATTTAGACAAATGTCAGGAAGAGTTTCATTAATCTTGAGAGTTTCGATGCCAGTGGCCACCTATGTAAGAATTCAGTCACACCTACTGTAACATCAAACAAGTTGAGTAGCTGATCGCTTCTCACGGTATAGATGTTTATTGACTACTCTACATGACCAGAATGTGTCTACTTTGCAATAAGTCACACGCTCATATAGAGAAGAGAGGAAGATACAGAGATGACCCGGAGATAGTATGACATAGAGGCAAGAGAATAAAGAACAGAAAGAGATCAACGACGTCATTATCGTTACACCTACGTCATCAGATCTAAAATGTTTTGAATAGAATTTATTTGTACTCCTTGACTGATAGAATAGCTTGTTTCAAATCTTCAATACTAGGATGATCTGAAGGTAATGTTTGTTATTTGATTATTTCCATACATCATACCGACTTTGTCGTAGAAATCAAGTCAATTATAATGATCTACAGGAAGGGTTTTTCCTTTGATTTACAGTGCATTTTCATAATGGTCAATAGCATTTTTGAAATCAACTTGGTGTCATTTGCCATAATATTCCATTCTGTCATGCGCATCCGATGTCTGTTCGAGAAATACTAGATAAAGTTCTTTGGCATTCTGCATTTGGCAAATTTAACGCATTAATCTAACTAATCGTTCCCATCCATTTGCAGTATTTACTTCCTTTGAAATACATTTAGTAAGTGCTCGGAGTGGTTTATCATCATCATCATCAGCGGTAAGTTGAAAATCTACTTGATAGAGACGATCAATATCCTCGATTCATTTGATATTTCTAATACGAAAGACAGTATATGCATTGAAAAACGTATTCCATCTTCCTCTTGAAAATAACTGAAATCCCGAATGGAAACAAATGTCGATGATTTCATTGTTGGGTCAATGGACATAACAAAGATTATGCCAACTCAAGAAAAGAAACAGAAATATCACGATTCCCATTAGTACACAGAAAATTATTAAATGACAATAGCCCACCTTTGCTTTTGCAAAGTTTTTCAAAATCATCCGTGGTTAAACCTTGTCCATGATAAACAACAAACGATTGTTCCCTGTACGTAATCATCTGGATTTGGTGTAGTTTTTCGACCTGATTAATGTGAATCTCCAAGAAAGAAATTCATGTTGATAATTGTATTGGCTCCCAATAATCGACGAGATCAATTCAACATTTAATAAGGTAAAGCATTCTCGAGTATACCACCAAATGACTTTTTCATGATGCTAATTACGGTCGAATTCATTAATAATATTTCGTTTTACATGATTATCATCATATATTGGTCGACAATAAATTATTAAATCTTTGATAGATTTTTCATCATCATTCATAGCAAGAGGAATCTTTTTAAAGATTTCAGTATACATGAATGTTAAATCTAATCGATTGACATCTTCAACAGAAGTCTCTTCATTCGTTTCAACAATACTGATGGAAATGGTATCTTGATTATATTGTTTAATACTTCACAAATAGTTTTCATCTGTGTATATATACCTTCGATTTTATTCCATTTGTTTGTCCATTCTTCATGATGAGATTTATTTCTACGAAAGATATACATTTCATCCAATGAATTTCCGAAACAAGATCTTGACCTAATGAACCTGATGTAATATAATGAAAGTTTTTGCATTATGGATATCATTGAGATGTTGAGTAGGTTATTTGCAGATGGTAATGTTATTAACTATTCCTCGTAGTTTTGCTAATTTCTTCTGACTGTCTTCATTACTTTTATCGATGGAAGAATCGATACAAACAAGTAAATAATTTTGAGACATTCTTTGTCCTAGTCGTCTGTCACCAGATGTCATTCTAACAGTGTCCGATTCAGAAATATTTTTGTGAAAAACGACAAAAAGAAGGAGGGAGATGGAAGGAATTCGTTCTTTTTTCTTGTGTGTATAGATAATGTGGCTGCCAAAGAAAACTGAATAGCAGAAGTTGCACGCTCATTGTAATTACCGACATTTGCTTGGTTTTTCTGTATTTAATGGCAACAGCAATATTCGTTTTATCTTTCCAATGTGAAAGAACAAAAAGAATTTGAATAATAATAAAACCGTTAAAATCTATGTACTCAAACTAATTCACTCAGTCATTCATAGTTTCGTTAATGTGAAAGTTCATTAGTTGATGAAATGTTCATTGAAGCATGAACATAGAAATACTACAGGAGATATCCGCTAGCAATCAAGAAATATTCACATCGACAGCATCACATATTGAAGAGATGTGAATCATACAGATACCAGTATGCTTCACATTGTTTCATTCATGATCCTTTTCCCTTCTACCAAGCATTGAACGATTAGATTCACGATATTATAATACTTTCTTACAGAAAAGGGAATAAAAGTATAATGATCCGCCTCCCACCATTTTTTGTATACAATAAAAATGGAAGTAAACAATTACTTGCAATCCTTCTAAATGTTTATCTTAGTTTGAAGGTACTCATCAAATAATACTCAAGTTTATTAGACGCACTTTAATGTAAAAGTACTATTTTGATAATTTTGGAATAAGAGCGAGTGAACTCAACTACTTATAACTTGTATTCGTCGTCATTTACTGGTGATACATATAAGTAGGCACATCTTTAAAAGTCTATTGATTGATGTTGCTATGTGATAGTTCAAAGAAGCCAACAATCGTTTGCAAACATTCTATTCGTTCTTTCTTTTTTATTTGTCGTCTGCCTACCGTTCCGATGTTATCGTTCACATTTCCTGAAAAATAAAAGACATTCAGTTCTATGTAGTTTTTTTTTAAAGGAAGAAGCAGAGAGTCGGCGTAAAGCACACACACAACTCGTCAACCGTTTTCTTCGGCAAGAATATAGTTCAGAAGTGACGGTTTACACTAATAATAGTTTGTGTGAGAGCGAGAGTGCCGGTATGGTAAATTGATTTTCTATTCCAGCACCAAATTATAGACGTAAGCGATGCGGTCGAGTCGTGACGATAGATATGTAAACGTCATGCTCTCATATCGTCTTTTTGTTCAAAATCTTCAGAAAAACTGGCTGAAAAATATTAGATCCCACCGCCAACCGAGACATTGACTTGCATCTCTACACTATACCCTTAAAAATCTTTCGAAATCCACCATTTTTCCACAAACTGTAAATTTGAACAATCTACATCGAATGCTTCAAGTTTTGTAATTAATCCATTTCTTGCACTTTTTCATTGGTAAACGTGAAAGTCTATGTAATTTAGAGTTGTAAGGAAATTACACAATATGGATTGTATCAGTGAGAGATTACGTCTGAATCGCCGCCGCGATGATATTCCAGACAATAAAGAAGATATAGTCTTGATTTGGTTTGTCGAAAGCATGAACGATGAAAAGTACTTTAAACGAGCAACAGATCGACTTCGTGAATGCAACAATAGTGTTCTATTATATACCGAATACGAACTCTGTATGGATTACATTCGATCAGTCGTTACCGAGAAAATCATCTTAATTCTATCCGGTAAAGTAATTGAAACGATAATATCAGATATTCAACCATTAGACAGAGTTGATTCAATATTCATTCTTTCTACAGACAAGATCCAGTATAACATAAGTTTAGAAAATCGTACGAAAATTATTGGTAATTATATTGATATAAATTCATTGACAACAGCTATTGAAACACGTTCTCATCGAATTTTGAAACAAGAATCGGGAATTATTTTCTCTGACAATACTGATCAAAATGCAGTACGTAATCCGGATCAAAATCCTGGCTCGTTTTTACTGTTTCATCTACTCGTCCATACTTTAAAACAGTTACCACAAACATCTGACGCCAAACAACAAATGATCGAGAAAGTGCGTGAATGTTATGTGGATAATGTAACTGTAAAGAGAAAAATAGATGAGTTTGAAAAAGATTATAAATCTTCTGATGCAATTCAATAGTACACAAGACCCACATTTGTTCATAGATTATTAAATAAAGCATTAAGAACTGTAGACGTATTTATGTTGTATCTGTTTCGCTTTTATATTATTGATTTACACAAACAACTCGAATATGAAAGCAAAAACAATCCATCCCCATCTTCATCATTACAAACATCCGATGTAAAATTGTACCGTGGAACGATTTTAAATGAAAAAGAAATAGAAAACCTTCTGGCGAATATTGGAAACTACATTTCACCAAACGGATATTTTTCAACATCGACTTCGTGAATGCAACAATAGTGTTCTATTATATACCGAATACGAGCTCTGTATGGATTACATTCGATCAGTCGTTACCGAGAAAATCATCTTAATTCTATCTGATAAAGTAATTGAAACGATAATATTGGATATTCAACCATNCGTTTTCGAAGACTGTTTAGATATCGTCGAATGTCAGTATTATCATGATTGTTGGTCGAGTTCTTTCATCACGTTATTCGTTATTATTAGAAGAAATCAACTTCTCATTACTATCGATCTACGCTCAATCGTTTTAAAAGTTTCTCCGAACTCTTTTCGTTTTCTCTTTTCAGATATCTACTTGTGGATCACCTTATGCTGCGCGTGCCGATAAAACAAGAACTGTTTCACTAACAAAGGATCTATTTGGCTTGATTCTGATTATTTCGGTCAATTTTACTCCTCTTTTTGCACATTTTGTCATTTCATGTCGTTCTTTTTCGATTTTTTGTATTTCTTGTATTGTAGTAATCATTTTTCTGGTGTTTTTTTATTATTGGAATTCAGGCGTTCTTTGTTGTGTCATTTTGTTACTGTGAGAGTGACCTTTGTAGCTGTGTACATGTGCAATCTCATGATTTTTCGTCAGTATCACTTTTTCTGTAACAGATACTTGTAATACTTCGTTCTTGTTGAATAAAGATAATGAAAAACGTAAACGTGTTCAATTAGCTACAGGTGAACGTGCTGATTAATCGCGATTTTAATAACTGAAATCGCCGATATTCCTGCACTTATATTTTGAATAATTGGTGATTAATCGCGATATATCACGCAAATCGTTAAAAGTATCATAAAAATCGGCGATTAATTGGCGATTCAGTGGACGATAATCGTTTCGATAAATCGCGATAAATCACTGATTTTTCAACGATTTTCAGGACATGGGATAAGACGTTTCATTCTTGTCGCTAACCAATCAGAATGGAAAATCAAAACATGACGTTCGATCGACGCCCAAGTCATCAAAATATAGTTTGAGACGATTGTTATTGAATCCATAAATGCCCAAGTACAACAGAAGACAGTCGTTGATACTGGAGTTATACCATTACGATAAAAATAAATGTTCCACACAACACCAGTAAGTTCTTCAATCAATCCGACGAATAAAAGAAGTATAATAACATGATTATGAAGTGCTGTTCGAAGTGCTTTGTGTTTGAGAAAATAGCAAAGAACAACGAAAGTAACGATCAGAGATGGAATAAAAGGCAGTAGTTGAAGCCAGAAACGTATATACGAGGGTATTGCCATATGATATCTATATTGACCGTCAAAACTCAACAGAAAATAAAAATACTTTGAATGAATATCTCTTTCTAAAATATATCTCAAATGAAAATATAGAAACTTTTCATAAGAAAAAACAACATCTCTCCTGTGTATGCATACATTTTCTGATCTGTATATGTAAATACAAATACAACTTAGCGAGTATTTAACACTAAATTTGATTTATTCGTGAATCTAGGCTATTAATATACAATCTTTTATAATTTTATGAAACTTTTCCTTAATTAATGCCATAGACGAACGATATCATGTCTCGGAATCTGCTTAAGGCATATGGTAATGAAATGAGGCTAATCAACACATCTGAATCAGAAACTTCTGAAAAGTTACTTTTCTCAAATTTTGTTCTAGAGTAGGGAGTCTGCGAAAATGCGCTGAAACGAGTAATGCATTGTGAAACACTTCGAAGTTAATTTAAAAACTTTTTCACAAAGAAAAAAATCGTCTTATTTTGATATGTGTCATAATTCTAGGCAGACAAGCAGCAGAAAAAAAACGCGTGAAAACGTCAAGGTTTTAACGGAAAAAAAATCGGGAAAAGCGCACATTTTCATCTTCATTCAAACTAAAACTCACGAATACAGCCAATCGATTTATTGACAATATAAAAGATTGTAATGATGATTTAGAAAGATGTGAGGAAGAGTTTCATTAATCTTGAGAGTTTCGATGCCAGTGATGATCACCTATGCAAGAATTCAGTCACATCTACGTCATCAGATCTAAAGTTTTTTTCTTTGTTAGATTTTATATGCGCTCCTCGACTGATAGAATAGCTTGTTTCAAATCTTCAATAGTAGGATGATCTGAAGGTAATATTTGTTGTTTGATTATTTCCATACATCATACCGACTTTGTCGTAGAAATCAAGTAAATCATAACGATCAATAAGAAGGGTTTTTTCTTTGATTTGCAGTGCTTTTTCATAATAGTCAATAGCATTTTTGAAATCAACTTGGTGACATTTGCCATCTCCAAGTTTGCCATAATATTCCACTCTTTCATACGCATCCGATGTCTGTTCGAGACATATAAGATAAGGCTCTTCGGCTTTCTGTCTGCATTTGGTTAATTTAACGCATTAATCTAACTAATCATTCCCATCCATTTGCAGCATTTACTTCTTTTGAAATACATTTAGTAAGTGCTCGAAGTCATTCATCATCATCAGCTGTAAGTTGAAGATCTACTTGATAGAGACGATCCATATCCTCGATTCATTTGATATTTCTAATACGAAAGACGCAGTATATGCACTGAAATCCCGAATGGAAGCAAATGGCGATGATTTCATTGTTAGATCAATGGACATAACAGAGATTATGCCAGTTCAAGAAAAGAAACAGAAATATCACGATTCCCGTTAATACACAGAAAATTATTGAATGACAATAGCCCGCCTTTGCTTTTGCAAAGTTTTTCAAAATCATCCATAGCAAGAAGAATCTTTTTGAAGATTTGAGTATGCATGAATGTTAAATCTAATCGATTGAAATCTTCAACAATACTAATGGAAATTGTATCTTGATTATATTGTTTATAATACTTCACAAATAGGTTTCATTTGTGTATATATATCTTTGATTTTATTCCATTTCTTTACTCATTCTTCATGATGAGATTTATTTCTACGCAAGATATACATTTCATCCAATGAATTTCTGAAACAAGATCTTGACTTAATGAACGTGTTGTAATGATGAAAGTTTTTGCATCATGGACATCATCGAGATATTGAGCAGGTTTTTTTGCAGATGGTAATGTTATTAACTATTCCTCGTAGTTTTGCTAAATTTTTCTGATTGTCTTCGTTACTTTTATCAATAGGAGAATCGATACAAATAAGTAAATAATTTTGAGGCATTCGTTGGCCTATGGTCGTCTGTCACCAGATGTCATTCTAACAGTGTCCGATTCAGAAATATTTTTGTGGAAAACGGCAAAAAGAAGGAGGAGATGGAAGGAATTCGTTCTTTGTTCTTGTGCATATAGATAATGTAGCTGCCAAAGAAAACTGAATAGCAGAACTTTCCACCATCATTGTAATTACCGATATTTGCTTAATTTTTTCTGTATTTAATGGCAACAACAATATTCGTTTTATCTTCCAATGTGAAAGAACAACGAACAAAACAAATTTTGAATAATAATACAACCTTTAAAATCTATGAACTTAAACTAATTCACTCAATCATTCATAGTTTGTTTAATGTGGAAGTTCATTAGCTGATGAAATGTTCATTGAAGCATATGGGCATATAAATACTATAGAAGATACCCCCTAGCAATTAAGAAATATTCACATCGACAGCATCATATATTGAAGAGATTTGGATCATACAGATACCAGTGTGCTTCACATTGGTCTAGATTCACGACATTATAATACTTTCTTACAGAAAAGGGAATAAAAGTATAATGATCCGCCTCCCACTTTCAAGGTTTCTTTCTTATTTACTCAAAAAATAAATGACACTTGTATATTTTTATGCCAAGAAGTAATTTAATGAGTACCGCTCCACACCATTTTTTGTATACAATAAAAATGGAAGTAAACGATAACTTGCAATCCTTCTGAATGTTTATCTTATTTTGAAGGTAATCATCAAATAACACTCAAGTTTATTAGAAGCACTTCAATGTAAAAGTACTAGTTTGATCATTTTAGAATAAGAGCGAGTGAATTCAACTACTTATAACTTGTATTCGTCTACATATAAGTAGTCATATCTTTAACAGTTTATTGATTGACGTTGCTATGTGATAATTCAGAGAAGCCGACAATCTTTTGCAAACATTCCATTCGTTCTCTCTTCTTTATTTATTTGTCGTTCGTCTACTGTTCTGATGTTATCGTTCGCATTTCCTGAAAAATAAAAGACATTCAGTTCTATGTAGTTTTTTTAAAGGAAGAAGTAAAGAATCGGCGTAAAGCACACATACAACTCGCATCAACCGTTTTCTTCGGCAGGAATATATTTCAGAAGTGGCGGTTTACACTAACGATAGTTTGTGTAAGAGTGAGATTACCGGCATGGTAAATTGATTTTCTATTCCAGCACCAAATCAGAGATATAAGTGATGCGGTCGAGTCGCCACGATAGATACGTAAATAGCATGTGTTCATATAATCTTTTTGTTCAAAATCTTCAGAAAAACTGGCTGAAGAATATTAGCTCCCACCGCCAACCGAGACATTGACTTGTATCTCTACACTACACCCTTTTCCCACATAAACTGTAAATTTGAACAATCAATATCGACTACTTCAAGTTTTGTAATTAATCCATTTCTTGCACTTTTTCATTGGTAAACATGAAAGTCTATTTAATTTAGAATTGCAAGGAAATTACACAATATGGATTGTATCAGTAAAAGATTACGTCTGAATCACCACCGCGATGATATTCTAGACAATAAAGAAGATATAGTCTTGATTTGGTTTGTCGAAAGCATGAACGATGAAAAGTACTTTAAACGAGCAACAGATCGACTTCGTGAATGCAACAATAGTGTTCTATTATATACCGAATATGAGCTCTGTATGGATTACATTCGATCAGTCGTTACCGAGAAAATCATCTTAATTCTATCTGATAAAGTAATTGAAACGATAATATTGGATATTCAACCATTAGACAGAGTTGATTCAATATTCATTTTTTCTACGGACAAGATCCAGTATAACATAAGTTTAAAAAATTGTACGAAAATTGTTGGTAATTATATTGATATAAATTCATTGGCAACAGCTATTGAAACACGTTCTCATCGTATTTTGAAACAAGAATCGGGAATTATTTTCTCCGACAATACTCATCAAAATGCAGTACGTAATCCGGATCAAAATCCTGGTTCATTTTTACTGTTTCATCTACTCGTCCATACCTTAAAGCAGTTACCACAAACATCTGACGCCAAACAACAAATGATCGAAAAAGCGCGTGAATGTTATGCGGATAATGTAACTGTACAGAGAAAAATAGATGAGTTCGAAAAAAATTATAAATCATCTGATGCAATTCAATGGTATACAAGACCCACATTTGTTCATAGATTATTAAATAAAGCTTTAAGAACTGTGGACGTATTTATGTTGTATCTGTTTCGCTTTTATATTATTGATTTACACAAACAACTCGAATATGAAAGCAAAAACAATCTATCACCATCTTCATCATTAAAAATATCCGGTGTAAAATTGTACCGTGGAACGATTTTAAATGAAAAAGAAATAGAAAACGTTCTGGCGAATATTGGAAACTATATTTCACCGAACGGATATTTTTCAACATCACGAAGTCGTAAAGTCGCATTGATATTTTCTGGTGGTGATCCAATAAAGAGTGTTTTATTTGAAATAAGCATTAGTCAAGCGATTACAACCACCGATTCGATAATAACGTATGCAGCAATTGATCATCTGAGTTGTTTTCCCGACGAAGAAGAAGTGATATTCAGTCTTGGTACGATATTTAAAATAACCGACGCGTTTCGTGATCTCGAATCTGGTATATTGAATATTCAAATGATCGCAACTGATGAGAAATTTCAATATATTCAAACACATATTAATCTCAAACAGAAAGAACTGAATGAAACAACTCCATTAACATTATTTGGAGAATTATTCATTGATGTGGGACAATACTCGAAAGCAGAAATATATTATAAAAATGTTCTTCAAAATTTGTCCGAAGAACAACGTGACAAACCATTAATATACCATGGTTTAGGATATGTATATTATAAACAAGAACGATATGATGAAGCATTGGAATATGGTTATAAAGCGCATAAAATACTCAAAACACAAGAATCAAGAGATTATTTTAACATAGCTCAATCATTAATTAATCTTGGATGGGATCACGCTGGAAAGAAAGAATTTAAGCGCGCCAATGAGCTATTTCGAAGAGCTTTGAAAAGATGGAAAAGTCTTTATGGCGAGCAAGATGATCTTAACGTTGCTATTGCACTTGTCTCCATAGGTGATATCAGTACTGAACTAGGTGAGTACGAAAACGCTGAGCATTGTTTAATACAAGGACTAAAAATGCTCGATCGTTTATTCCTACACGATCATATTGAAAAAACAAAAGCACTAATGAAAATTGGTAATCTATATGAGAAACAGTCTCGTTTTATCGATGCTATGGAATATTATCGACGTGGTTATAATTCAGCGAAGAAAATTATGCCAATTGAACATCCACGTTTTATCGAGTATTGTGGAAATATTATAAAACTTTACCGAAAAATGAACGATATTGATGGAGCTTCACAGTTTTATGGTGAATGTCTTAACCTTTTAGAAAAAGAACTGAACACAATTCATCCAAATATTGTTCAAATTCATCTGATAATGGCAGACGCAATCAATGAACGTTGACCACGAGATGAAAATAAACTTTATTTCCATTTCAAATGAATATTATAAAGTTGTCGATGAATTGTGTAATCTCCTAAAAGTGTTTCCTGAGAGATCATTTCATTCAATTCTTTCACCATTCGTTCATCAGCTTTTTTTGTGTAAATACATAATGAACGCAAATATTCGTGATACTTTTCGTTCATTTGCTTGAGAATCTTTTTGAGAAATAGTTGAATATTCATATTTTGAAGACATTCAACATTAAGATATTTCATCTGAGGACAAAATGATATCAGAAAAGAAATATCTTTTGTTGTAAATGTTTTCTCCAGATAAACACATTTGATATTATTTGCATGTTCGAATGCCGATGTTCGACCAAGTTCTCGTTCAAAAACTCGGAACGATGTTTGATATAATGACAGAGAATTGATTTTTAATGTAATTAAATCGGGTAATAAATGTAGAATTTCCATTAGTCTCATCGTCGAAATCTTCTGTTCTATATTTAAATGATAAATTTGCGTGAAATTCAGAACACGTTTGATTTGTTGCAATAGAAGATGAACTGGTTCGTAAGAATAAACATATTTGATTGTCAATTGTGTTGATTTCGAATGTTCCAGAGAATGTTGGTACCATCTTTTTCTAAAAGGACAAGAACTTCATTTGGAAGAAGATATTTGTGTATAGAAAATGTTACTTCAATGAACGAATAAAATAAAAATTAGCATCTTCACGAATTTCGATATCGAAGATTAAGTTGAGTTGAACCCAAAATGGTGAAACAAATGAATTTAATTCTCCGTCGTAAGCGGGATGTTCATCACGAAATCCTGATTCACGATAACATAAGGAAAAGTTTTCTAATTGAGGAAATTGTTGTGAAAGTAATTTTTGCCAACAATCAGCACGAAGAAAACGAATATCACGCTGTGCAAAATTAATATGAAGAATTTTCAAGTTCGAATGAATTTTTCCGATAAATAATTCAAATTCAGCGAAATTCAAATCACTTATGCATATTGAGAGATAATTCAAATTCATTGGCACCAAATTTCGCAGATCTCGATGATTTTTATTCGTTTGTGGAAGTTTAAGATGTCGAAGGAAAGGTGTACAAGATAATATTATCGAGAGTTCATCAAATGTACAATAATGGACGATATAAAGAAATTCGATTGGACTTCTCGGAGATTTATTTGATATTGGAGTGGATATTGAAAGTTCGTCCCGAAATAAATCGAGTTTACTGGATTTCAATTTAGGTAATGAAAATATGAATTGATAAATTTCATTTAAATCGTCAATTAGATCCGTTGTTTTGATATTTAACGAATAAAGACAAGGTAAATGACGTAAATGAATAAGGAAAGAGATCAGCTGATCGCTTTCAATATCTCCAATGGAAATTGATTGAAGATTATGAAATGAACGATCAATGGAGAAGAATTCATCAAGAGAATATCGTAGTATTTGTAAAGAAATTGAATGGATTTGACGTTTGATCACTTTGGAATATTTGAAAAATCCGTCTTTTTGCGTTGAATTATAAATGTTTATTTTCAATCGAATAGATGAATGTTTAAGTAATTGTTGAAAGCGAGAATTAAGATTTAAAAATGCTCTGCAAATATCCAAACCTTCAAGATAATCGCATATTTCATAGAAAATGTCATTGCACAGATTTTCAAAAGAATTTATCGATTCATCTTCGTTAAAATACAAAAAAAAACAAGTTTAGTCATAATGCATTTAACCATTTTACTTCGTGACTTCTTTGAATTCTCTTCGGACGATTTGGTAAAAGTTAGTTTTCGTTTTGAATTATCCATGCGTTTACACAAACAGAAAAGGGCTCAAATAGACAGAATCAACAGCTATCCATATATTGAAAGAATGAATCTTCCATGATAATGGACAGCGGCCCCTATGATGAAGAATAAGAAGTGGGTACAGAGACGTCGCTATTTTACAGGGTAATATGATAACAAATTGGTTTATCCGGTCTTCTCAAAGCGAATAGCACAATTTTTCTTTTCACTTCAAAATGCTTGCCAAACAGTCAAGAGAGTAAATGAATGAGATGCATGAGACCTGAATTGTCATTTTTCGATTCTGACACCATAGTTGATATGTCCATGGACACGATACTTTTGCCAGAGAATATGAAGTAATAGAGCAAAAACTCGAAAAAGCAATTATAAGCGTGGAAAATATCGGGTTTGCAATTCCTGAACACACGGGGATATAGAATTGGCTACGAAAAATGCGTCTCGATCGTAGTCCCAGTATATATAGCATCGAGTGGAAAATAAATCATGCCCAATCAATGTATGACTAAAAAGATTCATAAACAAAGGCACATTCGATCAGAAGGGTAAGACCAAGAAGAAGAATTATTATATGATTAGTCCAGAATTGTACCGAGTTAGAAGAATGCAACAAACAATACAAGATATTTTCCTTCCTTTTACTCATATGTATCCCTTTACAACGATTCTAAGAAAACAAAAAACGTTCGTGCACATTTACAAAATAAGTTGCAAAACGAAAGAATTTGTTCGCCATCAGAATAGTGTACTTCAAGCATCCATTAGAAGAAGTTGAGTATGTTTCATTCTTCTAGCAGAAGAGAACAAATTGAAAAATTATTTTATTGACCATATGTGAGTGATTTTAGTGGGAATTTTCCCAGAGAGCATTTATATAAAAGACACGTTTACTCACGTTATTCTTTCTTTACATAAAAAAGAGGCTATATCTCTGCCTTATCTAAAATGACTTGCAAATCATTTGTTAGTCATTTCAGAAGAAAAAATCAGTGGGTATATTTTTGAGTGGTTTTTTTGTGAAAGATAAAACAGATAGCTATATTATTATTGAATTATTCATTTTATACCGCATAGAAAACATTTCTTTATCAAGAAATCGTGCTGGGGACAGGAATATTGATAAAGCAAATAAGAATTTCATCATTGTTTAAGTGAAAAAAGAACGAAACGGATCGGTAGAAACCTCCGACATGGCTATGCTGGCAACTAACAATCCAAAAAAGTCATTACCTAATGTATCCTGCTCGAACCAGGCGTGTCAAGTACTGTCTATTGATGTTGAATGTGTAGCTACAGGAAAATCCCATTTGGATCGGTCACCATGCAGAGTCGCCATTGTTAATGAAAAATGCGAAATCATCTTCACTTCATTGATCAAACCCGACAAACCTGTCGTTAGTGATTTGTTTCCTTTCACTGGTGTACGCAAATCACAGCTTATTAGTGCTCCGTCGTTCGACGAAGTTATCGAGAAAGTAATTCAGATATCTCAAATATCTATGTTTTACATTGATCTCACCCNTCTAATGGCACAGTTAGATAGAGCGCATCAAACCGCACTAGAAAAACCAACAGATACAATATAGAAAATCATTTCTCACAATAAAAGATCTTGACACCTAAGGTTGCCCGATCTCTACACATAGGTACACATACAAGTAATAAGTAATCTAGTTATATCCTCTTGATACGCTGTTTTCACAAAACTCTATCGAAGTTTTTGAAATATTTAGTCAATGACCACTCTCAGTAAAGTGAAAAGACTTCGATTTATTTTCTTCTTCAATTGCTATAATAGAACCCAAGGACGATAGCCAATATCCTGTGAATTGAATGATCGGGCAATCTTAGGTGTCAAGATCTTATATTGTGAGAAATGGTTTTCTATATTGTATCTGTTGGTTTTTCGAGTCCAGTTTGATGCGCTCTATCTAACTGTACCATTAGATCGGATCGTTCGTGTCGAATGATTATGGGATTCAGCAACTTTATTAATGGGACCACACGGGATAGTGGGCTCCCGGCCTATCTATCTTATCAAACTCTGTCAAAATACACTTTGGTCGATATGATTTCAACTAGAACGATGTTATCTCGAGAAAACACGCCTACGAAACTAGTTATGAATGTATAAAATCACAAAAAACGAATCTCATGCCCTGGACTACAGAGCGAGTAGTAAGACGTTGGTGAAACTCTCATAACGACTAGAATTTCAGAGAAAGTTTTGACAAATAATAGCACAGAGTGACTGAAATAGATGGAATTTACTTTATTTCTAAGCAAGATCCCTGAAAGCAGGCGTTGATCTGCTGTGGAAAATCAAGAAATCCATTTTTAGTATAGGGGTCTTATAATTATGGTACAGCAAGTTTTCGAGAATTTGTATTTTTTTCTCTAACTGTTAGGGAAACGCAAATCGCAACTTAGCTTGATAGATAGTACTTATGCAGTCATACACCATCATACCATTAGCTGATCATCGTCTCCTATTTCGGAAACAGAATAAAGATTTTTCAATGCATGTGTAAGGGGGGCTTATAATTTTGGTACACCCTGTAAAGCGCATAAAATACTCAAAACACAAGAATCTAGAGATTATTTCAACATAGCTCAATCATTAATTAATCTTGGATGGGATCACGCTGGAAAGAAAGCATTTAAGCGCGCCAATGAGCTATTTCGAAGAGCTTTAAAACGATGGAAACGTCTTTATGGCGAGCAAGATGATCTTAAGGTTGCTATTGCACTTGTCTCCATAGGTGATATCAGTACTGAACTAGATGAGTACGAAAACGCTGAGCATTGTTTAATACAAGGACTGAAAATGCTCGATCGTTTATTCCCATACAATCATATTGAAAAAACAAAAGCACTAATGAAAATTGGTAACTTATATGAGAAGCGGTCTCGCTTTATCGATGCTATGGAATATTATCGACGTGGCTATGATTCAGCGAAGGAAATGATTCCAATTGAACATCCACGTTTTATCGAGTATTGTGGAAATATTTTGAAACTTTACCGAAAAATGAACAATATCGATGAAGCTTTACAGTTTTATGCTGAATGTTTTAACCTTCTACAAAAAGAACTGGACGCAATTCATCCAAATATTGCTCAAATTCATCTGATAATGGCAGATGTAATCAATGAATGTTGAGCACGAGATGAAAACAAATTTTATTTCCATTTCAAATGAATATTATAAAGTTCTCGACGAATTGTGTAATCTGCTAAAAGTGTTTCCTGAGAGATCATTTCATTCAGTTCTTTCACCATTTGTTCATCAGCTTTTTTTGTGTAAATACATAATGAACGCAAATATTCGTGATGTTTTTCGTTCATTTGCTTGAGAATCTTTCTGAGAAATAGTTGAATATTCATATTTTGAAGACATTCAACATTAAGATATTTCATCTGAGGACAAAATGATATCAGAAAAGAAATATCTTTCGTTGTAAATGTTTTCTCCAGATAAACACATTTGATATTATTTGTATGTTCTAATACCAATGTTCGATCAAGTTCTCGTTCAAAAACTCGAAACGATGTTTGATATAACGACAGAGAATTGATTTTTAATGTAATTAAATCAGGTAACAAATGTAGAATTTCCATTAGTCTCATCGTCGAAATCTTCTGTTCTATATTTAAATGATAAATTTGCGTGAAATTCAAGACACGTTTGATTTGTTGTAATAGAAGATGAGCCGGCTCGTAAGAATAAACATATTTGACTGTCAATTGTGTTGATTTCGAATGTTCCAGAGAATGTTGGTACCATCTCTTTCTAAAACGACAACAACTTCATTTGAAAGAACATATTGCGTATAGAAAATGTTACTTCAATGAACGGATAAAATAAAAATTCGCATTTTCACGAATTTCGATATCGAAGATTAGGTTGAGTTGAATCCAAAATAGTGAAACGAATGAATTTAATTCTCCGCCGTAAGCGGGATGTTCACCACGAAATCCCAATTCACGATAACATAAGGAAAAGTTTTCTAATTGAGGAAATTGTTGTGAAAGTAATTTTTGCCAACAATCAGCACGAAGAAAACGAATGTCACGCTGTGCAAAATTAATATGAAGAATTTTCAAATTAGTAGAATGAATTTTCCTGACAAATAATTCAAATTCAGCGAAATTCAAATCACTTATGCATATCGAGAGATGATTCAAATTCATTGGCACCAAATTTGTCAGATCTCGATCATTTTTATTCGTTTGTGAAAGTTTAAGATGTCGAAGGAAAGGTGTACAAGATATTATTACCGAGAGTTCATCAAATGTACAATAATGGACGACATAAAGAAATTCGATCGGACTTCTCGAGGAATTATTTGATATTGGAATGGATATTGAAAGTTCGTCTCGGTATAAATCGAGTTTACTGGATTTTAATTTAGGTAATGAAAATATTAATTGATAAATTTCATTTAAATCGTCAATTAGATCAGTTGTTTTAATATTTAACGAATAAAGACAAGGTAAATGACGTAAATGAATAAGTAAAGAGATCAGTTGATCGCTTTCAATGTCTCCAATGGAAATTGATTGAAGATTATGAAATGAACGATCAATGGAGAAGAATTGATCAAGAGAATATCGTAGTATTTGTAAAGAAATTGAATGGATTTGGCGTTTGATCACTTTGGAATATTTGAAAAATTCGTCTTTTTGCGTCGAATTATAAATGTTTATTTTCAATCGAATGGATGAATGTTTAAGTAATTGTTGAAAGCGTGAATTAAGATTTAAAAATGCTCTGCAAATATCCAAACCTTCGAGATAATCGCATATTTCATAGAAAATATCATTGCACACATTTTCAAAAGAATTTATCCATTGATCTTCGTTAAAATACAAAAAAAAAACAAGTTTAGCCATAATACATTTAACCATTTTACTTCGTGACTTCTTTGCATTCTCTTCGGACGATTTGGCAAAAGCTAGTTTTCGTTTTGAATTATCCATGCGTTTATACAAACAGACAGAGTCAACAGCTATCCATACTGAAAGAATGAATCGTCCATGATAATGGACAGCGGCCCCTATGATGAATAATAAAAAGTGAATACAGAGACGTCGCTATTTTACAGGGTATAATACGATAACAAATTGGTTTATTCGTTTTTTTTCAAAATTAATAAGACGATTTTTCTCTTTACTACAAAATGTTTGCCAAACATTCTCGAACAGTACTTTTTGTTCTTATGTTCGTGCTGCAGCAAGATTTCATCGATCAATATGGTAGATGAATGAAATGGATAAGACCTGAATTATAATTTTCCGATTCTGCCGCCAGTTGATATGTCCATGTACACGATACTTTTGCCAGAGAATATGAAGTAATAGAGCACAAACTCGAAATAACAATTATAAGCGTGGAAAATATCGGGTTTGTCATTCCTGAACACACCGGGATATCGAATTCGTTACACAAGATGTGTCTCAATTAAACAAAGGTACGACCAAGAAGAAGAATTATTATATGATTAGTGAATGGTTGACGAAGTGCTCAATCCGAAAGCAAATAAAATAGAGCGAATCATCGATGGAATAATTAATACCTCAAAGATCCAGAGTTGTGCCGAGCTATAAGAATGCAACAAACAATACAAGACATTTTCCTTCCTTTTACTCATATGTATCCCTTTTACAACGATTCTAAGAAAACAAAAAACGTTCGTGCACATTTACAAAATAAACTGCAAAACGAAAGAATTTGCTCGTCACCAGAATAGTGTACTTCAAGCATCCATTAGAAGAAGCTGAGTATATTTCATTCTTCTAGCAGAAGAGAACAAATTGAAAAATTATTTTGTTGACCCTGTGGGTGATTTTAGTGGGAATTTTCCCAGATAGCATTTATATAAAAGACTCACTTTATTCTTTCTTTACATAAAAAAGAGGTTATATCTCTTCCTTATCTAAAATGACTTGAAAATTATCTGTTGGTCATTTCAGAAGAAAAAATCAGTGGGTATATTTTTGAGTGTTTTTTTTGCGACAGATAAAACAGATAGCTATATTATTATTGAATTATTCATTTTATACCACATAGAAATCGTGCTGGGTACAGGAATATTTATAAAGGAAATAAGAATTTCATTATTGTTTAAGTGAAAAAAGAACGAAACGAATCGGTAGAAACCTCCGACATGGCTATGCTGAGAACTAACAATCCAAAAAAGTCATTACCTAATGTGTCCTGCTCGAACCAGGCGTGTCAAGTACTGTCTATTGATGTTGAATGTGTAGCTACAGGAAAATCCCATTTGGATCGGTCACCATGCAGAGTAGCCATTGTTAATGAAAAATGCGAAATCATCTTCACTTCATTGATCAAACCCGACAAACCTGTCGTTAGTGATTTGTTTCCTTTCACTGGTGTACGCAAATCACAGCTTATTAGTGCTCCGTCGTTCGACGAAGTTATCGAGAAAGTAATTCAGATACGTCGAATATCTATGTTTTACATTGATATCACCCGCAGGTTCATTCGTTTTTCACACCATCAACTTCGATTGTCGGTCAATCGATAAAGAGCGATCTTGAATGGATGAAACTCAAAGAAGATGTCCATTACCAACATCTCATCGATTTGGGTGAAGAATTTAAGACGTTCGATCCAAAATATCGCAATGACCGGTAAGTAATTAAATATATTTTCTCATATTTCATTGTTTATTTCGAAGGTATTTTTCACTGGCTCACGAAGCATATGTATTATTAAACATCGATCTCAATGCTAAAGGTAGCCATATACCTGAAGATGATGCCAAAGCAAGTATCCAGTTGTACAATAAATATTTAAAAGTAGGATAGTGCCAAGATAGCTACGGTGACGTTTTTTGTTAACTTTTCAAAGAATCGGAATCAATCGAACCTTGAACAGGCACGAAAAGCATTGCTCCAAGCACCAACGAAAATTCCGGTCTTTCGGAAATTTAACGGTGCTTACGAAGGGGTTTGCATATCCGCATTTAATCGAGGATACTGTCGTTGCGGAAAACCTTTGGTTAGTGAACTACACAAGCAAACAAATGATAAAAAACGCCGAAATTCCGATGACGACAAAGAAGAAAACTCATCGACGACGACGACGACGACAAAGAAAATGAAAGTTGTCAACGAGAGAAGCCAAAGTTGAACTATAGGTGTCAACTGAAAATGACACAATTCTATTAATAATGATTCATAGTCCTTAAAGATGAAATTATTTTTATACTTGTTGGATTTTAGCTATTACATATGGGAAAAAAACAATATAAAGAGAAAAAATACCCACTAAGCGAAATAACCTTTCTTTCTTGTTATCGAATAAAGAATCGAAAGAACAGCGCGCACACCAGAATACACATAAATTTTATGATCTATACACATTTTTCTTACACATACGGGGGGAAAAAAATGTCATGTCAAAATGTTTTTCTCGTTCGTTCTACAGTATCGGCCATGTGTTGAATATGACTCAGAGAAGATGACACATATCTAGGGGAAAACTCCTTTCACATGCTTACGTATAAAAACGCGAACAAACCTGCTGCCGATATTAAATTTATATTCATTTTCTCTTGAGGATGCCGTTCCGTCTTAGCTTTCTCCTCTGATATATTTTGTTTCAGATTTATTACCCTTTCTAATTATGTCGGAGAATACAACAGAAACAGGTAATTGCTTGTTTTAAGTACAGAAATTTCTAGTGATAAAAACAAAGCAATATTGTGTGTTCTATTTAGTAGTTTCATCATCGACTCGAAAGAAAATTGAGTCATGTGGAGGCAATGCTTGTTCTAAATGTAACAAGTGCCATGACTGGTTTCGCAGTGGAAAATTTTGGCATAGAGAACATGATGCAACATGTTCTGCGACGCTTCGCACTGATACTGATGGTCATCNCACTCACCCCCACCTTCATTCCTCTTTCACACCATCAACTTCGATTGTCGGTCAATCGATAAAGAGCGATCTTGAATGGATGAAACTCAAAGAAGATGTACATTACCAACATCTCATCGATTTGGGTGAAGAATTTAAGACGTTCGACCCAAAATATCGCAATGACAGGTAAGTAGTTAAATGCATTTTCTCATATTTCATTGTTTATTTCGAAGGTATTTTTCATTGGCTCACGAAGCATATGTATTATTAAACATTGATCTCAATGCTAAGGGTAGCCATGTACCCGAAGATGATGCCAAAGCAAGCATCCAGTTGTACAATAAATATTTAAAAGTAGGATAGTGCCAAGACAGCTACGGTGACGTTTTTTGTTAACTTTTCAAAGAATCGGAATCCATCGAACCTTGAACAGGCACGAAAAGCATTGCTCCAAGCACCAACGAAAATTCCGGTCTTTCGGAAATTTAACGGTGCTTACGAAGGGGTTTGCATATCCGCATTCAATCGAGGATACTGTCGTTGTGGAAAACCTTTGGTTAGTGAACTACACAAGCAAACAAATGATAAAAAACGTCGAAATTCCGATGACGACAAAGAAGAAAATTCATCGACGACGACGACGACGACAAAGAAAATGAAAGTTGTCAACGAGAGAAGCCAAAGTTGAACTGTAGATCTCAACTGAAAATGACACAACTCTATTAATAATGATTCATACTCCTTAACGATGAGATTATTTTTATACTTGTTGGATTTTAGCTATTACATACGGGAAAAAACAATATAAAGAGAAAAAATACCCACTAAGGAAATAACCTCTCTTTCTTGTTATCGAATAAAGAATCGAAAGAACATCGCACACACCAGAATACACATAAATCTTGTCATCTATACGCATTTTTCTTACACATATGGGGGAAAATGTCATGTTGAAATGTTTTTCTCGTTCGTTCTACAGTATCAGCCATGTTTTGAATATGACACATATCGAGAGGAAAACTCCTTTCACATGCTTACGTATAAAAACGCGAACAAACCTATAGCCGATATTAAATTTATATTCATTTTCTCTTGAGGATGCCGTTTCGTCTTAGCTTTCCATTCTGATATATTTTGTTTCAGATTTATTACCCTTTTTAATTATGTCGGAGAATACAACAGAAACAGGTAATTACTTGTTTTAAGTACAGAAATTTCTAGTGATAAAAACAAAGCAATATTGTGTGTTCTATTTAGTAGTTTCATCATCGACTCGAAAGAAAATTGAGTCATGTGGAGGCAATGCTTGTTCTAAATGTAACAAGTGCCATGACTGGTTTCGCAGTGGAAAATTTTGGCATAGAGAACATGATGCAACATGTTCTGCGACGCTTCGCACTGATACTAATGGTCATCCCGACGGTGGTGGTTCAACTCGAACTTATGTTCAAGGTCATGGTTATGCAACCGATTGGGATGTCACTGGTTCTACATGCACTCGTGATAATCATGGAGGTCGAATGGGTCCTGGTGTTTACACTGTTGTTCGTGGCACTGCGCAGACTTCGCGAAGTCATCCAAATTTGTGCACATGTGAAATCAGATGAAATAGTCTACATAAAGTTCAACACCCTACGTTTTTCTTTGCTTCATTTTTTTGAATAAAATTTCTCTAAACCATCTTGAGGATGAGGGTGCTGCACCCCTGCATAAGAACGTTGTCTTAGAACTTGTTATCCATTGAAGAGCCGCGTTGTATTATCGTGGTTCTAACGCATAAGCAAAGTACAATAAGGTGTGTATGGCTAAGAATGATGCGACGATTTGGTGGTAAAATTTCGACAGTAACAATATCGACAGACGAAAACATCGGCAAATGTCAATGCCAAGAGCACAGAACATAAAATTTAACAGCAGTTGATACACGGCAGTACGGGCAATTGAAGAAGCGTTCACAAAAACTTGAGTAATCCGAGAGGATCTCGATCAATTAAAAAATGTTATCTTGAAAAGCAAATTCATTCGATTGAAAACCACCAGTATCAGTTCTTTTTATTAGTTGACACGAAATCAAACTTATCTCGAAAGTGTATGCAATGGTACAGGACATGATTTTCTTTGATCTCTCCTACTTATGACTTGAACTATATTGTATGTTCAGCTGCTACCAATATCGATTGTTACGATCCACACGAAGAAGATTTATCAATGAACAGTCCTGCCTCTCGATCAGGTCTCACATCTTGTCTTGTGAGTAATAACATTTAGGTCTGTTTTTTGAGAAGATCCAAATCATATTCATCCACAGGCGATCACTCGTGGTACGTATTGAGTTTTCTCCGATAATAAAATGTGCAATTGTATTTATTGACACAACCGATTGTTTGGAATATAGCTTCATCCGTCCAGAGAATTCAAATCCGTACACAAAATTCAAGTCGTCGATCTGGTTCGTCCTCTTTTAAGGCTTATAACGATCTTTGTCGGTATAACTTCAAATTCAGATCTTTCATAAAACGTTGTACGCTTGAGCGTGATATGTTCAGACTATGTGATGCACTCCTTTGAGATGTTTGTGGATTTCGATGAAAAATTTCGGAAACAATATCGGCTATTTCTTCGGTTGTCACCCTTATTGGTCCACCACTTCGTGGTACATGTTCTACAGAGTCGGTCTCGTCAAACTTTTCTGCTTGTTTATGAATTGTTCGTCAAGTTAGAACTTCTTCACCAGCGATATTCACTTCGAAAAGTAGCATCTACTGGTGCAAACCATTTTTCGGACGCTCGCCCTTCTGTGAGAAGAAAAAATCTCGGCATCACTGACTATATGACAGAAAATGTAAAATGCAGAAGAATAAGCCTTACCAGAAATACATGAAACACACGTGGACAAATGACAGACGAATATGACCAATGACACGAAAAAAAAACTTTCTATGTGCAAGGTACCAACCAGAATCTTAGTAGAACAGAATGAAAAATAAAGAAAATGATCATGTAAACAACACGTTTTATCCATAAATTGAATTGGTTTCTTATGCTCAAGCTGATCAAACTGCCTTTTCCTCCAACTATATTTGCATGAGTATGAAACTTAGATATTCCTCTTAGGTCGACAGATAAGGGGGATATTTATTTATTTTTTGTTATGGTATCGTGACTTTTGAGCCATTCTGTACAATGTTTATTCAATACAAACTATACAACTATAGTCAGATATGGAATATGATGTTAGCATACTCGATTGACTTCGCTGCAGTTCAGTAGCATGGGTATCAGGTGATGTGCGAAGCAGAATGCCTCCTTGCTTTTGGAAATTTCTCCTTTTTTGCCGCTAATCTTGTTGAAACATGGAGAATCAAACTATTGAACTAGCGTGAGTGTTGTCTGGTGAATAAGAGAATTTAAAAGAATACTGAACGTAAAAAATGTACGAAAATCGATCAATTGACAAATTCAATGCACTTTCCCAAACGAATTTAGAAAACGTATCAAATTCATACAATATATCAGACAGATCAATGTCTGTATGAACATCGATCATGGGTGGTGATATTTATGAAAAAAGAACATGCAGTTTTTATGGTTTTTGTCTATAGAAAAATTTTAGCAAAAATTGGATGAAAACAAAACAGACAAATGTCGTTACTCTTCTATATCTCATCTAAGTAGCTCGAAATGCGAAACAAAATTAATATTTTAACTAGTATTCACGGTAATAAACAATGCGGAGAAGCTATACGGTCGTTTAGAGCAGGTCGTAAACGAAATTCTTATTTCAATTATCATTACTGTGGCGAACAGCAATCTTGTATATGTATTTATTTGCAAGAAGATTCTGTTTTGATATGTCAAATTATCGTGGAAGTATTCAGCATATTTTTTCGCGTATAGGGAACGTGTTATAGTAATAGAATGAAAGATTGATTCTCATTTGAAAATCAATCTTTATTGATTCGTGTTTAGAACGAGTGACATCTTTCTTCAACAAACAAAACTGATGTATTATTGAGGATATGTGCAAATTCTCAAAATGATCGTATTAAGAACTTTTCAATGGCTCATCGATCATAAGTCTCGAAGTTGCGGGTATGTAAGGATTGGTTACAACTTTCCTCATCCACATTCTCAAGAAATCCTCCATAATCGCCAAATACGGTTGTAGACATCAATAGGATTATTTCAAGATACGAAATACATTTTCAAAACTTTTTCGAGTATTTGTATAACTTTCACTATGATTCTTGTGAATAATCGGAGGCCAAAAAAAATTATTCAATCATAAAATAAAAGTGTACCATTCTTTTTATTCAGTGTGGATATAAGTGACGTTATTAATTTTCATATTCTTGTTTTTAATACAAAAATTATTAGAATGGGAAATCAAAGTGAAAATATAATATGCAGATTTTTTTGATAATCAGCAGAAATGCAAAAAGTAAGTATTGAACTGATTAATAATAATACACCCCAACCTTTTGTGAGAAAAACTGAAGTCAATGATTGAAATCATGAAATAGTAGCTTTAAATAGTTTTTGTCCAGATCCTCCTCCTTCTCGTAGCCAAAAACTAATAATATAAATTTGATTGAGAACAACCGTGAAAGATTGACTAATTTGGGTAATACAGCTATTACTACCATCGATTACATATTTGGTGCCACTTTTAGGTGCGATACCATTACTTATACCGCTAACAGTAGCAGATGGACAACATGTGCACGAGCCACTCGGTGTTGATTTTATCCAATAAGGAGATAATGAACCTGTCTCAAAATCTCCATTGAGTAATTTTTCATTTGTTCCATCAGATACGGAAACATCATCGAAATACCATTGGTCAGGATCATGACGAAACTGGAATGCTAGAGTTACGGTGCCAGATGCAGGAGCTGTCCATGCATAAACTTGACATTGGAATGCTGTTGTATTGCCAGACGTAGCCGTGTATATTGTAGACGTCGAACCAATACTAACTGGCGCACATGGATCTGCTGAAGTAGTGGCTACGACAAATCAGATTATATGAAAATATGAACGACAACAAATACTCACTAGTCGAAGTTGTTGCTTATAAAAATAGCACAAAAACTGTATTTTGATCAATAGATGTAAGTGAATTCGCTTACTTGTGGTAGTTGTACTGCTGGTCGACGACGTTGCTATTTATAATCGTATTAAACTATTATATTTCACTTTAGTATAAAAACTTACAAGTCGATGTACTAGAAGTGGATGTTGATGCTGCAAAACATGAAGTTTTAACTTAACAATACACTGAATGAAAAATAGAAAACGCAATATCTTACTTGAAGTTGTTGTTGTCACAGATGTTGTTGTCGTCGTCGTAGTTGTTGTTGTAGCTTCTCGTTGTGTCAGAAAATGAACGAGTAAGGCTGCAAGACCGGCAAGCAATAATAAAAAAGCTAGGCAGGCTATCCAATAACAACAAAGAGAATATCCGCGCCCACATTTACGGTGGATATGATGCAGTTGTTTTCCTCTGATTTTATAATCATGCTTAAATCGTCTATAAACATCTGTCGTTTTCATTGTGAAGATTGGTGTGCTTGATTTGAATGGGACAGAACTGACAGTACTATATGTTTTCTTCATCAAATGTTGACAGAAGACAGATGTACATAGGTAGAATATGAAAAAAGTCTTACCGGAGGCATCGATTTTTTATCGGAATTATCATTAGTCGACATCATTATATTCGGAATGAGCGATATTCCTTTTTGCGATCTCATTGATCCATTTGATTTGACCCAGTGAGCAGATTTCAATCCTGTAGCACACTGATGGTTTGATGATGGTTGATAACACACGTTTTTCTAAGACGAGATATACTCAGATTGTATTAAACTTTTCAATCATGAATAGAATTCGATCGATGTCCTTCCCAAATCGACACGGTGCCGTTAAAAATGAAAAGAAAGAATGAGAAGGGTTTATGTTGGTCTACTCAAGAGATCAAAAACGAAAAACTGAGCGAATCTGTCAGGAACAGTTCGTTGAACTACTGCTAGTGCCACTTCGATTACACCTCACATACCATGTCACTTGAATTGTGAACTCGACTAGCAGATGTGCCAGATTTTGATGAAATGTGTATAACATTCGTGGGATCCTTGAATAACTTGATCAAATATGACATCATCATTTGTTATCTTGCTTACTTGTTTCCAGTTTTTTGTTCGATTATATGTACGATGTCGATACATTCTGATCGTTGTTCTAATAAAGCAAAGCACGCTATACCAGTCTTGTTATATATCACAAGTAGCGCTCATCCTTCGGACTCGCTGACCCTTTTCTGAAAGAATTGCATTTGATTAGCAATATAAATCAATCCGTATTTTATAGAATAGCTGTTGGAGCTTGGCTGACGTTTATTATCAATTGCGAATGATAGTGTATATATAACAACGTTAGATAACGAAGAAGTGATCTTTCGTATGTAATTTATGTTTATTAATAAATACTCGATAGGTTATGATGAAAATTTATTAAGATCTTAAAATACTTTCGTTTTTAATTTTATATGCAGCAAGAGTAGTATTATAATTCATGCCTAGCACATGTAAAGCATAAGCCGATGGCTAAATGATTGAAGTATTCGAGAAAAACAGCTTTCGTATCTGTATATCAATATTCTTTATTTAAAAGATTTGTTTTATAATTTATTCTTTTGTACGAAGATATCAACACATTTTTACACATCAAGAGCTCTATCTTGACCGGTAGATAACAAGATCTTATATCAAATAGACAAACGAAAAATCTAAACCTAGTTTCAAAAGAATTTGTACATGAGAACATAACATTTTGAACTGTATGATAAAAGAAGATGCATTGTATTATATATACAGTCAATTTCATATGATAAGATAGACGTTAATCCTCATATACACCTGATAAAAAGACAATCTTCAGTTCGAGCACAAAATAAGTAAAGTTTATATGATGACAATGATGATTATTATTATCATTATTATCGTCATCTTTGCTTGACTTGGTGAAACAAAGATTATTTAAGAAATGGGTTTATTGCACAATCAATGTTACGGCGGTATGAACAGGTGTTTTTACGTTCATGATATGTTCATGTACGTACAACTGATATTTCGACAAAATATGGTTTCCTAAAAAAGATTGCTTTACCTCTTTGATTCATTTATTTGATTTTTTAGACAATACTTTTTAGTCAACAATTAGAGAGCAAAAATAACTGAATGATCTGTTGAGGTATTTGATCGTTTGCGTCGATAAATATAGTACGCTAAAACAGCTAATCCAATAAGAATCCAGTTGAAACTTAAAGCACCGAAAGGTCCAATATCAGTAGAGATAGGGACATGAGACCTCGAGAGAGTATTCTTTTGGTTTATAAATTCTATAAAAGCCTGCCTTTCCTGTTCGGCTACATTCTTTTTGAACCATGTCATATTTTCTGTTATGTGTTGATGAACATTTATAACAGAGATATTTTTAGTAAATATACCATTATCTTGTAATAAAACAAGTGAAGAGAGATTGGGAGTTACAGGACGGCCTACTAAAGTGAAGCCTGGGCACGCAATTATATAACCTTCAGTTACATTTACAATAGCCACAGGTGGAAGTATTATTTCCTCATTAATATTCGAGATTTGTTGCGTTGGATTGAAATATCTGTTTCGTGACATTCTCACACAATGTATTGGTTTAGATGATGAAGTAATCCAAAGATTATCTCTTAACTGTCGGATAAAATATTTATCAGCAGGAGCCTGTGTTGTTTGACATTTAGATAGAGGAAGATTTTCTATGATTTCATCCAAACAAGTATCTTTGGAGATCGTTCGGATAGGTGGATTATCACGACATGATGTCATTAGCTCAAGATTGCAACCAGATACTTCACTATCATGCCATTCCATAGTGGTATTATTTATTAAATCAATGCCCCAGTATCGAGGTATCTGAACGAGTTCGATTACTTCATCGGCATAATAGAAGGGAATTGTCACTAATTTGTATATATGGAAAAGTGCTTGTGCCTGTTTTGGGACCGCGAAATAGCTAGTAATGATGAGACGTCCGATTTCGTCTGGATCGTCTGTTCCGTCTAAACCATCGCTCATATACTGTGAACTAGGAATAAAATCTATATGTTGCTGAACAAGAAGTTTAGTGATAATTTCGACGACTGGAAGTGATTCAGGATGTGAATTAAATGTTAGATTTCCTTGTTGGATGACATGATCTACCACTTTATGCATATCATCTGGCGACAAAAAGCTGAGTGTTAGCTCGTTTCGATATATTTGAGATATTGCTGAATAAAGAAACGAGTGTCGAAACTGAACATTTAGTCGTTCGAGATCCATTTTAAGAAGATGAATGGCCTCGGAATGTGACTTCAAAACAGGCATTATGTCGTTAAGAGCTTTTTGTGTTGAGTGAAGCTCTTCAATAATTTCTATATTTCTTGATGTAATTTTTACTAGTTGTGCTCCATATAGTTCTACTTTTTGAGATAATGATGATATAGAGTTCTTAACAACTGCCATTTGCTCGAACAGTTTTGCAATTAGTGCCGAATTTGCTACTGACAGAGCAAGACTTATAGATGCAGTACCTAAAGTAATGGGATCGATCAAGCGTTTAGTTCTTCGTCTGGTAATATTGCAGGAAGAGATGAGTTTCGCAGCCGACAAGGGCAGAAAATGACAAGTAGTTGTGGTCATTGGGAATATCGCCGATGTATGGACGATTTCGTCAGGTGGAATATATTGTCCAACATAATCAAGAAAGAGACCTGTCTTTGGATGAGCAATTGTACTTTTATTCGAGAAGACATTATACGGATATGTATGGAAATGTGATGGGAACATGTAAATTAGGAATGAAATCACTATGAAATAATAATTCATGATCGGTATCAGGATATCCGTTTATGATGTTGAATATTAACTTTGCTTTTGTCAACACTTGTTCAAAACTCTATGACGACATTTTTTTATCGCTTCTACAATACACAAAAGAAGAAAGCAATAGTTGGCAAACAAAATGACAAAAATTTCTCAGTAAAAGATTGATATCAATGACTGCCAAGTGAAATTTTATTTTATCGATTAGTATATATGTGTATAAGTTTAAACAATAATTAAAACAAAACAATATTATTATTAGACAATGTGATCTTCTTAGTATTTGTGAATACATCAACCGAAATCAAGTACAGCAAGGGAATAAAGTAATCTATATTGAAACATAAAGACTCCGACAATCACCATCGCAGAAAAACATGCATCTTTTTTATCTTACAAGCTGATTATTGGTGATAATGATTGATGAGTGATTTAATTGTACTAATCTAAAACAGAATTCATGTTTTTTTCTGCATAACGATTGAAGACTTGAAAGATAGGTTGATTTTGACGAAGTAAGTAATCGGATTCCTTACTTTACAGAAATAGAATGTGCTCTTTTTCGACGGTCTTTGGTAAGATCGTGTGCGTATAGACAATATTTTGTATTATACAAAGTAGTGATGATAATGATGCTTTGTTTCTTCAAAAAGACTAGCCAATCTCTTGATTTCGGCTGTTTGTCTTTTAGATGGTTTCACTTGCAATGCAGCAAGATTGAAGTCTTGTAAAATAACCAAATCTGTAAGTTGCTGCACTCGTGAAAGCGGCACGTAAGCCGATGCAACTTCAACGATTCCCGGCGNTGTGCGTATAGACAATATTTTGTATTATACAAAGTAGTGATGATAATGATGCTTTGTTTCTTCAAAAAGACTAGCCAATCTCTTGATTTCGGCTGTTTGTCTTTTAGATGGTTTCACTTGCAATGCAGCAAGATTGAAGTCTTGTAAAATAACCAAATCTGTAAGTTGCTGCACTCGTGAAAGCGGCACGTAAGCCGATGCAACTTCAACGATTCCCGGCGGCATGTTCAGATCAATGACAATTTTAGGTAATGTTTGACCTTGACTCTTATGAGTGGTGATAGAGTATGCCGGTACTATAGGTAAACCTCTTCTCTTCACATTGATAGTAGTTTTAAGCTTCTTTGTGTTGAGCATTTTCATCATCGGTCCTTTGTCTGCATAGAGTTTCTCGAGATTAACCTCAAACGTTTTATCAATTACTGGAATAGGTATAATCAGAGGATCCAAAGAGTCTAGCTTTTTCACTTTTGCTTTCGGTATTTCTATCAATGCATATTGAGCATTACGAACAAAAATGGTATCATCCGTAAAAACTCTTTGATCGAAATCAGCAATCTCTTCTGTTGCTTCATCATAAACTAGTTCTCGAAAGATTCCCTGAGTTCCATTTGATAGGCCAAGCTCGCAAGCAATATTTTCCTGTAACAGTACAGGCATGCCGGGCACGAGAGGAAGATAGCCAGGCAAGTGCTCAGTTTTGTTATCAGGTAAGGCAAGCAATCGCTTTGTCAAGTCAGGGAGATCGATATGTTTTTTCGCTTTAATTGTATCCGTTGCGATTAAAACTGTTGGTGACCGGCCGGTTTCATGCGCTTTGTTGATTACTGCTCGATTATTTAGTTCCGTGCGAAGCTCATTTCGATAAACAAGGATTGGAGCCTAAAGTTTCAAACGCAAGAAATAATAAGAAATATTATTTGAAAGTTTACTACGAAATCCTTAGCGAAGATATTTTCAGTTTCTTCTATTAAAGATTGTCCTTCGTTCTAGTTTATGTCTCGATGCTAGTACATAAGGTGAACTAGTTAGAATCAGCATTGTATGAAATATTAAATGACAATTATCCAAGACTTATCTGTCCAGTGTGAGAGTTAGCTAAACGCTAGATTGCATATGTTACAGAACAAATTAGAATCCAAAAACTTAAAAAAATGTCCCTGAAAAGCCATGTAAGATCAGAATCTTAACATCGACATTTCAAGCCTCCCTAGCTATTTACAAAATACTTCGAATTTTCCTGAATTTTAATTTATCCTTCTATATACATCTAACACACCTCGTTCCATGGCGGTTGATTGAGAGAAATATGTAATCCTATGCCAATAACGCGTGTTCGTAGCAAATGCCAATCTTCCAGTGTCCCCTCGCCTTTCCGCACTCTATTCAACAGTGCCTGGTATGCTAAGTCTTTCGTTCTCATTTGCTGTTCAAGTACAATGACGCAATTGATCTGCAAAATTAGTGCGCGAGCACTTTTCTGTTGAATCTCATTCTCAGAGAATGACTTCGCAATGTTTTTCGTATCATTATCGGCTGTTTCACCGAAATCATGATAAAGAGGCTTGTCGAATACCGGTGAGTACTGAATGTAGTCGCCGAAAAAGATAATGTTTACACCACCCATTGGCACCATGGGATCACAATGTTTTGCCGTTCCAACAAGTTTATTTAATCGAGCAAGCAAACTGAGTCCAACCATCGACATTTCATCCAAAATAATGTATTCCACAAAACGCCACGCATTTTCTATGGTTGTATGTCCAGGTCGATTCATTGATTTTGATTTATTTTTTCGATTTCGTCCATCTCCCAGAAATGAATGAATTGTCATACCTTCTATTTCGGCGGCAGCAATCGAGGTTGGCGCAAGTTTTCGAAGTTTATATATACGATTAGTCTCCGTGAAATATGCAGTTATTGCACGTATTAGCTGAGACTTCCCAGTGCCACCACACCCAGGTACACACATAATCAATTGGTCCTGCTTATCAGCTATATATGTGAGTGACGTAATTTACTAACTGTTAGTTTTCTAGTTAATCAATACTACCTTCATTTTTCTTATTCATTCCGTCTAAGTGACCCGTAATNGTTTTCGAAGTTTATATATACGATTAGTCTCCGTGAAATATGCAGTTATTGCACGTATTAGCTGAGACTTCCCAGTGCCACCACACCCAGGTACACACATAATCAATTGGTCCTGCTTATCAGCTATATATATGAGTGACGTAATTTACTAACTGTTAGTTTTCTAGTTAATCAATACTACCTTCATTTTTCTTATTCATTCCGTCTAAGTGACCCGTAATGATCATAAACGCAGCTTTTTGGTTCTTATTAAGTGTGAACTGTTGTGCAATATCATTTCGACTGGTCTCACTAGGTATAGTAATTTTTGTTACTGGCAGAGTGTACATAGTATTCAAAGGATCATCATTGTAGCCGAAATTCGCTAACATGCTAGCATCGATAACTCCAACTGTCTGATCTTCGTCAATATTATTCCGATCTCTGAAAGTATTTTCGTTACTGATATTGATACAAGCGTTTCGCCTGCGTTCTTTTTCATCTTTGATTTGCCGTTGCCATTTATTATTTCGTTCAATGAGTTGAGTAGTAGCTGGTATCAAATATTTCTGATAAATATTGACTGGTTTGCCTCGTTTCGTGGGATACATCAATGATTTTGGTGAATCTCGAGCTGAGTCTATGCAGTTTTTGTATACAAAGAAAGTAGCCCTATATATAATCTCTTACTAGGAATGTTAGCAAATCTATTTGCTCGATCAACGGCTTGCACTATTTTTCCGAAATAGATCTGTTCTGCTCTTGTGCCTTGCTCTGTCAAAGTTGGAATTTCTGACATATCGATACTTTCTAGTACATCGAGAATTTCATTGTTTTCATCGTCACTGTCACTATCGTTGCGACTAGCATACATGGGCTCACTCACTACTTCAGTCTGTGCAGCCTCTATCACTTGTTGTAAATGCTCATCCCGATCAGTTTTACATTCTTGCAAAATTTGAATATTATCGATAATTTTACGAGATTCATCAGTAATTTTTGTATAACGAGCCTCGAACGCCTGTGCCCATGTTTGATCTACTTTACATACATCTTGGAACGACCGCCAAGGACAAAAAAGAGCGAGAATTGATCGACAGTAGCGTTCTATTGTATCTTCGCGGTCTCTGCGAGGTATTGGTGGTCCAAGTAAGACGGGAATGACAGGCTTCATTCGTCTGATATTGATATGAGATATACTCTGTGGATGTTCACTTTGGAAAGCTGCTCGCTCTGAGATTGGACGACCACGAGATGCATTTTTGGTCACGCCACTCTTTGAAATTGCTTGAGCTTCTAAGTGCTTTCGATCTTGCGCATCAATCACTTTTTTGCGGTAAAAACGCATGTAGTCATATAGACACATATTATCAAGTGCCGCTGAACGATATTGATAATCGACTCGAGCATTCACATACACATACTTCGTCTTTGTTTCATCAGGTTGAAGTAGGAAATGTTCTTCCGTTTCCATACAGGTTTGTTCACTTTCCTGATCTACGACGTCTATTAAATAGAGAAGATGAATCATATTTCATGAGTTAATCTGTAGGTGAGTTAAAATTCATGCGGCAAGCATGAAATATCATTTTTCTTGTACCAGAAACAAGGACACGGAATATCTCAAAATTTAATATAACATTTGTGCATTCTCAGATTTTTACGCTGATTTAACATAGCTTTTCGATCAGTTATACACGGAAATATTAATACTAATGTGAGTTAAACTCTTTCGTATAAAAGCCCTTAAAAAATTACCTTCTGTCTGGTGTTGATGTTCAAGTTGAGCTTCCGTCAAAGTTGCTTGTAAAAAATTTTTAATTCCAATTAGAAATAGATTGACAAACTCATGTGTTGTATAATGATCAGGCCAACCCATCAGATATGAAGCTACTTGTACGCCTGATAGCTCTTGCTGTGAAGCAAGAGTATTGTAACAACGCAGAACAAGTCTTCGTGACTTTTCTTCGGCATTTAGAGATGCATCAATGTGAAGTTTCTGTTTTTCAAAAGACTCAACAGCTTTTAGCACAAGCGAAAATGTATCGTGAAACGAGAGGCTCGATTTCGTTACATAATCCGTTATATAATACACCAATGCTTTGGCGTCACTACCACTGAAGATATACTTTATATCCATGTTCGACCGACAAGCACTGATAATGTATTCATTAAAATTATTGATAGTTTCGTGAAGTCGTTTCAATTTAATTTCACCCGATTCAATGTCAATGGATGATACCTTTTCGATTCGTCGAGGCATTCGCATACGACATATTGGATTGGTATTTGTTTTCGAATATTTGTAACATGTTGCTGTATGTTTATGTATGTTGCTGCTACATACTAGCTGTATTATATCTTTTTTGAAATAGAGAGCAAAGTTTGACATCAATGGTTTCGGGGTGGGCATCATTGATGGAAATAAATTCGTGACAGTACTTTCAGAGCGGTTCGCATCTAAGCAAAATGTAAGTTTCTCAACTTCTTTCCCGTATTCCATACTTTCATTGGCGGCTCCTGTGATCATCTCGTTCAATATGGGATCAGTACGATCAAAACGGTCCGAAGTAATAGATTGTTGGTTTTCAAGAACTATAAGAATATTTATCTAAACAGATCACGTATATACTAAGGGGGAGAAGTTTACTATCTATACTGGACGCATCACTAGTAAAGTTACTAAGATCTTGTTTGATAATGTCTTCCAAATAGCCGATAAGGCCATTTCGGAATTCCTCATTCTCAACTGATTTTTTTAGTTGTGTGGGTGTCAGATCGTGATCCAGCCACATAAGAATATGCAAGTGTAATGAGCCTCGACCTTGATTTTCTACTGTACCAAAATATGCTTTAATTGGTCCGAGTAGACCTTTCTCTACCATGCACTGAAGAATAGACGAAATAAGCACATTGAAGTATCGAGCAGTAGCCACCGGATGTGCGGCAATAATCTGAGCACGTTCGTACGTGGATGGGATTTTTTCAGGCAGAATTTTATCCAGATCTAGATCAACGCCAGCAAAATAAAGCGCAATACGGCTATGAATATCAGCAGGGTTAATTGTCATGAAGATACTCGGTAGACCCTGATTGAATATGAGCGAATGAATTTGAGAGCGAAGAGCACTTCGTGAGTAAGCAGAACCCATAACGCTCCCACCCACCGCTCTAATATGTTTCATAAGCATGTTAATCCGTGGATTTGTAACTGAAGAAAATGTATGTTTCGTTGCATTAATCAAAGCTGTTTCAACTTCTTTTGTTGTCAACGCTTGAAGATCGGTAGCATTTTCTCGAAAATAAGGTCGGGAAGCCATCAACGAGGCATTCCAGCATGCTTGTCGGCGTTGCATCATGTTGAACATAACATACATGAACGAATGATGTTTTTCAAAACGTTGATCCTCATATGCAAGCAGATAACGAATATGCTGACCAAGTGGTACCTCAGTCGGTCTTGATGAATCATACGGTGCGCCGTAACCGTAGGGAAAGAGCGTGGGAAATAGACCAAGAAATAATTCCATATTGTAACAGTCTCTGACTGGCATATGAGATCGGGGAATTATATAAACATCCTCATTATCTGCATTATTCGAGGACGTGTCCAACATATTCGATAGCTCGGTTGAAGAACTTTTAACTTTCTGTAATAAATGTACACCAATATCTTTTGATGTGACAGCTGTTCCGTTAACGTCGAGTATCGCACTAGAAAAGTTAGATAAAGTCATTCATTTTGTTTATACATATCTACCTAGTATGCATCGGAATAACGGTTTTTGCACTTGGTTCATCCTGAATAATATCCCCTGCAAGTGGATCACTAGTGAATTCTGCTCGTTCCGCATTGGCGGCCGTCATGTTTTCAATTCTTTCTATTGTTGCCCAAATACTTTCTGGAACATCATCATCTGGCAATTTTGCAATATTTGCTTCACTAACTGAAAAGATCGATTATATATCGCATCAACAAACAATGATCTAAAAGCTAACCAGGTATCGTTCGATACATATGATTGTTCTCTTTGAGCCATAACAGAGCATTACGAATCTTTTCTCGACTTACGCCGCAAATCATACGCAATTGTACCCGGTTAGGAACATGAGCACCAATGAAAACAATTTTTAAAGTATCACAAAGATCGTCAACATCCAACGGTAAACTTTGGACAATATTTGGCATGTCATGCATAAATGTAATTACATTGCCTTTGAGTGCAGTTTGTGCAGTAGAAGGGTGATGGAACGGAGACTGTAGCTTAATAACACAGCTGTTATGTCGATACAGAGAGATACTACGAATTGAAGGAGCCGTTTAGCATCAACTCGATGAGTGTCAATGATAGCCAACTACACTTACAGCTTTTCCTCCGCAATTGTCAATTGTTGAAGTACTAAAGGCACATCTCCAACCCACATCTTGTTCGCCACAGAAAAGATCGGCGCTTTATTTTTGATCAGTGCAATGTGACATTCATGACAAATGTTTCCAGACTTTTTCATCATGTGATATCCTTTTTTGTAGAGTACTGCATCCGACAAGGAACAAAAAATTGAACAGGACTCATTACCTACGGAAAATCCTTTATGTATTTATGACTACAATCGCATAATTAAAGTTACCATCTTGTGCGATTCTTGAGGTTATTTTACCTATGACATCTATCAAATCTGCATGGCAAGAAAGCTTTTGTACATTTGGAATATGTGAAAGATTGTATTCCTTCATTGCACTAGCAGATGCTCGAATATTACAAATAGTACAGATGGATTGTCGTAAAACTGACATAGATGTCTGATCGCAAAAATCTTGCAAACAATCTTCCTTTAGAGATGTTTCAATAGCAGCTGGCCACTGGTATTGATCGAGCCGAGTTTTTTTATTTCCAGCTGATATTTGTTTACCTAATCTATTTGCAGTTGATCGTTTTCGTTGGTCGGTTAAACGTGCGTTTCGTTCTTCTTCATTTTCGTTCGACCTATTAGATACAGATCGTTTTCGTTGGTCGGTTAAACGTGCGTTTCGTTTTTCTTCATTTTCGTTCGACCTATTTGATATAGATCGTTTTCGTTGGTTGATCAAACGTGAGTTTCGTTCTCCTTCATTTTCGTCCGACCTATTTGATGCAGATCGTTTCAGCTGGTAAGCGATACGTGTCTTTCGCTGATCTTCACTTTCTCTTTCTCTAAAAGCTCGCATTCTTATGGAATCCATACTCCCATGAGCCTCATCCTGTTCGTTAGTTTCAGCATTATTTAATTGTGAGGAAGAGAATTGTGTGATTTCAGAATTTGTTGTGGTCAGACTCTTGTGTTTTCTAGCGTTGGAAGGAGGTGAAAACTCTGGACTTCGTATAGATAATATTTGACTATTTTTTACAGTCGACTTTTGAGGACTCTAGAGGAAAAATTTATATAAATATTTTTGTTCTATACAACTAGCATTTATATTCACATCTGGTGTTGTTATAATTGACTCATTGCTTGTCTTCCGTGGAGCACTTTTATGTCTTTGTAGAAGCGGAACAAAGTGATTTGGATTCCAAACACCACTGTTGCCAGGACGTGCTCTAGTGGAAATCTCATCTTCAGTACTGGACCAGAATAGGACTATTTTGTTATTAGATGGAACTGGTACTCTCAATGGCGTATACACTGCGTTCATGATTTTCATTTCAGCTCGATAGTCAATATAAGGGTATGCACTTTGCACTTCACATTGTAAGACATTTGACAAAGCGACAAGTTCGTACAACTCACAAAACATGTTATTATTGCATATTCGTCGTAGTGCTTCATTAAAAGGACCAACATGCTTGCTGCATTGATCATTATAGTGAGTTTTATTCTTAACTAACTCAACTATCGTACGAACTAAAGTTAGATGAATGATTTTATCTTAGGTATGTACAATACATGGGGCCGACCTCTAAGTTCAACATCCGATATATTGGCATCCGGCATAAACGATACAACTGAATGGAATAAACAGTTTCCATCAGCAATAGTCTTTATAGGAACAAGATGCTGAACAGCTTTACTAGCTTGCTTCAGATATTCATGTGCGACAACATCGATGGTGTGTTTTGTTTCATCAAATGTTGGTGACGGAATTATCTTTAACGGTTCTACCAACTTCTCATCCTAAAGTAGATCGAAATAACTTGCGAACTCATGGCAAATTAACTTATGCACATACCGTGAAAATTGAAGCTACAATAGCTGAAATTCGCTCTTCATAATCGTTTGCTTTTGATGCTATTGTAAACTGGTTCATTAACTTTAGAAATTTTTGAGTTCGTTCGCACCTTTCGCAAGAATATGATTCTCTTTCAAATAGGTTTAAGCAATTGCGGCAATTTTGATTACCATTGAAACGTGTATTGTCCATGGTGGATCGATCTGAAATAAAGTCTCACACGTAGAACAACAAAACGATACAGATCTGCAAGTACCGAAAGTAAGAAAAGAAACAAAGCCATCAAAAATATTTATGTTCTAAAGAGATTGGTAGCAAATTTCACATTCATCTCTTACAGAACAATCTGATACATGACAACTCATTACAAACGTTTTGATAGCACGAGAAAAAAATTTAATTTTCTATTATTCTCATACGATTTGCAATGTTGTTTTAACAGCAGATTGCTTTTTATCTATTCCAGTTGTCTACATGGTCATCTTATCTAGAAATTATTCCCGATAAAGTCCACCAACGATGCTGGTATCTTGTATCCGAATAATAATCACAATCATCGTCCATACATGATAAATTTAGATTGACTTCTCGTAAGCTCGTTTGAACAGTATCAATAGGAAAAAAGCTCGTATCACGTTCCATTGATAAATTGACGGTGACTATGTTGAGAGAAGGACAAAAATCGAATAAATCGAGCCATCTATGATTAACCACAAATCCTTCAATATTCACGAGACCACTTAACTTAAGCTTTACGAGAGAGGGCACTGTTTTTATAATAGCACTCAGGCATTCAAATGGAACTTCAAGAATTCTGAGAGACATATAGGAAACCTTTGGAAAACTAAACCAAGAAACTGAATCTTTGTTATCATGAGAGATGGTAATATCAAGAAAGCAAACGTTGGATAAAAAGGGAAGCATGTGTGATAATTCATTCCAATTAATAGATGAACATGAATGCAAACTAAAGCGTTTAATATTTGTTTGGATCATGGGTAGGACATGCGGTTTTATTTTTTCATCTGATTGGTCCGCAACAATTGATAGTCGGCGCAACGAAATCAAAGGTGTTATACATTCCAACAAATCGTACAATGGGCCAACACCAGGCACAACTAGGACTAGTTGTTCAAGTTTCACATTAGTATGAGAAACTTTTTTCAGCAAAGAAATAGTCCATTCGGATTGACCAATAACTTTTAGCGAACGAAGCTCTGAGCAATGTTCGCTTCTCTCAAAGCAGCCCTTTTGGTGCAATTCGAGCGATATAACCTGACTGAGCAAAAGTTCTTTTGGAAGAGCTCGAATAGAATCATCGATAATAAGTCCTCGTAAGCGCAAATGATAACCTTCATTGAATAAAACGTCGTCTGCTGCTTCAGTTATATGCACGAGACTGAAAAGTAATTCTAAGGCATTAAAATATTCAAATATATGTCGCCAAATGTCTGAATATAAATGAGCAATTGATGTTCTCATTTCTAATAATCAAAATATAAACAAAATATCTATTTTAAGGCAGTAATTTGCAGCAGCCAATACGCACTATTTATTGATTGAATATAGAATCGCACCAGGTAGTAAACTATCAATATTTCCTAAACTATTGATTCAGTTCATACTACAATCATGAATACTAACCAATGAAATGTTTGTTGTGAGAAACTAATGTAATTATCTACAACAAAGTTCGTATTTTCGATCTGAATATATGAAAACCTCGAGTTTATTTTTTAAACATAATCCTGAAGATAATCTAACAACGCTTTCGATCTGAACTAATCGGTGGGCCACAAAGAACTCTCCTCTAAGTAATTATGCATTTTCTCCTATATTATTTGTGCCAGTAAAATTCTCTTTTTTCTCCAAAAATAGCCCTTAATATTCTCTACAAGGCTACATCTGACTGGTACCTGAAGTCTGTTTTAGATACAATTGAAACCATCAAAGAGAAGAACATCCAAAAAACCTGCACAAATCTAACAATGGATGCACCAGCTCCAAATCACGAATTGGAATTGGTCAGAATGAAATTTAGAATTTCTTACAATGGGAATTCGTTTCAATCGGAATTGGTCAGAATAGAAATTCAGAATTCGTTTCAATCGACATTTCGCTTTTCTTACAATTGGAATTGGTCAGAATGGAAATAGGTTACAATTGGAACTCGTTAGAATGGAAAAGTAGAAATCGAATTCTTTATGATTGAAATTCGTTAGAATGGGAATTCGTTAGCATGGAAGTTTAGAATTTGTAAGAATTGGAATTCGGTACAATGAGAATTCGTTAGAATGGAAATTTAGAACTGGAATTTGTTAGAATGGGAATTCGTCATAATTGAAATGTTGAATTGGAGTTGGAATTCGTTTGAATGGAAATTCGTTACAATTGGAATTGGATTAGTACAGTTTGGGATAATTGATTTCAAATGATTAACAAGTTCAAAAGAGTTGGTGGAAACTGATACAGAGTCAATTCCTATGAAGTAGTGTTAATAGAAAATTATATGTCATTAGCGAGAACTACTGAGCAGCAGTTTTAATTCTATTGCAGATGAAAATCTTTTAAAGTTAATTTCAACCAATTCTACCGATTCAATTCGATTTCTGACCAGTTCCAGAATTGGAACTGATATTGATTGAAATTGGTGCATCCATAGTTGTATTTTGCAGGTTTTCGGATGTTCTTCTCTTTGACCTTTTGAATTGTATCTAAAACAGACTTGAGGTACCATTGATATGCAGCTGTGTAGAGAAGTTGAAGAGCTATCTTTTGACAGAAAAAGAGTATTTTTCTCAAAGAAATAATATAGGAGAAAATTCAAAAATACTAAGAGGGCAGTTCTTTATGGTCCACCCGTTATTTGATAGAGAATTTTAAGTGCAGTTAGTTTGTTCAACAAGACATCATGCTATTGAATGTGTTAAAGGGATCATATACACATCACCTTAAAGATCAAGTAAATAGACAAAGATGACACTTACTAACTCCGAATATAGACAGAAATCGTCATTATGAAACGTATTGTCCTCTATTTTCATTATGATCACCTTTTTTTAATGTAACAATTGATTATGATTGATTTATCTCAAAGCCAATGAAAATTCGTACGCAAAGAGATGAAAAATAAAATAAATAGGAGATTTTTTAATTACAAGCACAAACAATATTTTCTGTTTTCTTCCGTATGTAGATAGTTCATTGTAAAAAATCAACTCGTTTTATAATTATTTCATTTCTTTTCAAGAATATCAATTACACCTCAAACTAAAGTATCAGTCTGCTATCATTTACCTTTTTCTTTGTTAAAACTAATCGGAAACAACTAAGCAATATGCTCTTCTTGATTATCAGAACTGATCCACATGTCAATAGTTATCAACAGTTATAGGAGAAAATGTTCGATGACTTATTCGAATTTAATTGCTTCACTTATTACCAACACTGAACACAGAGATTCAATTGAAATTTGATATCTGACACTTTCAAGATAGACGTTTCATTCTTCTGTTTGGTTAAATACAAATATGTCAAAGTAATCTGTTTTCAATTATCATCTCAATGAAACGGAAACAGAAAGCATATTATGAAGTCCTTCTAGGTTATTTCGTTCCTTTAACGTTTACAAAAATATGCAGATGAGAATTTCGTTGAGATTTCCTTGATCTCTGTTTTTCTCACTCAACGTGTTTTTATCCAATATGAATATCTTATCTAAGACGCTGGCTTTAGTTATCAGTTTCTTTATTTTGCTGTTTTCTCTTTTAATTTGATCCGATTCTCTTTTTCATACTATTTACTTTCTCAATTTTTGTTTCGTTCTCAACATCTTCTCGTTAATATTGTTGTTTCTCTTATATCTCTACTGTTTCTCAAAGAGCACATATAGAAAAGCAAATACTGACACGCGGTACACCGTAAAGGACATAAAAGTATCGTATCACTGTTGACATTGCTGACTCGTGCTGTAGTACTACGTGAGGCAGATAACACTTAAAATATCCTATCGAGTTGAAGCCTAAAATGCAAGATCGTCAGAATTCATCGATGACTGTACGCGTCAAATTAAAGTCGTATGGGTCAATTATATTGCCGTATTGATTTAGAATGATCCAGTCGTATCTAAAAGACAAACTAGAAGGAAAGTTTGATATATGGAATTCAAAATTCTTACCACTAAAAACTAGCTTCAATACATGCTTAATTTTAACACATAAAACAATGTGTTACATCCATGCATTACGGAGATATACGAAGATAAAACTCTGACATCTATTCTCATGCTACAATAGTTGAGACTCTTCTTTCATTGCTTATTATTGGTTGAAAGATGTTCATTCGTCAACGTTTGTATAATGAGATTCGCTCTTTGATTAGAATTAACAATAGGAAATATCTCTTATCTGAAATTATGTTCTATGATAATGATATTCTAACAGTAACGACTGATAATATATAGATATTTTTAAGTTGAGCACAGAAAACACTACTACTACAAGATTACAACTACACATTACAAAACGTCGCTTCGTCTATTAATCGATAAGTATTTCACTTAATCTATGATGAGGACTATTGAGGATGCTTCTTTTCGAATTCAATCGCCATTTTAAGTAGTTCTTCATCAGAAATCTCAGGTATTGCTTGGCTACTTGTACGAGCATGAGCTGCAAACTCAGCAGCACTAACAAACATTGGCTTATCAAACGCATTTGCGTTAAGATTCGAAACTTGCTCTTTATGTGAATGATGGTCGAGCATTTGTCTTTTCACTTCACCTCCACTTTGTTCAGTTGCAGCTCTTTTTGTTCCTCGTTCAAACACAGCTGAGTAGGTCTGCTTTCACAATAATAAAAATATAAGGAAATGATGATACTGTCACTCTTTACCTTGTTGTCATCTGTGATTGCCGATAATTCTGAGAAAATATTTTTGTTCATTTCTGAATCTATTATACAAATGAAATGATATATTGTCATTTCAGAAAATTCCTTCAATGCAATGCTTACTGAACGATTGTGACATTTCAATAGAATAAATTGCGAAATGATTTTGAGCGGTTGTGTTATAGGAAAAATCTACAACAAACAAATAAATGTACAAATACATATGGTACCACGCAAATTACACGGATCTAAGTACGTAAGAATATTTGAAAAATTATTATTAGTTTTATTTAACAGTTAATGACATAATCAACAATGTGTACAGTGTGTCAACACTACACATACGAAAACAAGTATTTGGTAAGACTTTCTCAGGTTCAATCTATTCTCATATTAACAACTAGCAGTTGAGCAACGCAAACATAATCTGTAGGATGAATACCCCATAGTTAGCTATGTAGTAAATAGCTGATTTTATCTTTAATCTTTCCATTCATCAATTAAGCGTATTTGTAGAAAATATTTACGACAAAAAGAGCCTCTATGACACGCAAGATTTTATCAATGATAATGATCTGGTAGTCGTTTGGAAAGTTATCAGTTATAGTGTAATAATTGGGGGCAGACCGTTGATATGAATTTTTCTTGAAGTCCAAAAGTGTCAACATTATCTAAAAATGGTCGGCGAAATTCTTTTGTAATGATTTGAATTTCACCATCATCATCAATGTAATGCTGATATTCAACTCGATACAATGGAATTTCTTCTTGTGCCATCAATGAATCGAAATCACCATCGAAGCTGGTAGGCACTAGAAGCGTGAATCCTCTGTTACAATATTTTGCTATGCGTATACACAAATGCTTAGGGCTCTGTGCATTGAGAGTATAAACAATGAACGATCTTGTCGCAAGAGCTTGTAAAAACGGAAATGTTGAAACAATTCTATCACCTAAATATTTCGCATATTTCATAAAAAATCTATTAGAAGATATAATCTACCCGTGAAGGCTACTTGACAAATGTCCATGTCAAAATTATGAAGAATATGTGAGAGTGGCTTTTTCGATTTTCTTATAGGCGTCCAAATAAAATTGAGTTGAACATGGCATGGTAGAAACACATTATAGTTTGGCGTTCCGGTAATTTTTTCAACTCTTATTTTATTTGTTGAACTTTTTGAACCTATTTTGTTAATATTATTGACAATATCGTCGATAGATTTTTTAAAATCTAATATGTCATGCACATAGTAAACCAAATTGACATCTTGCTCTTTACTATCGAAGAATGGTATATTACATAGTGCATTCAGAACCGATCCTCCAACAATTGCCCATTTTGAAAAATCAATCGCTCGTAACCATGCATCCGATGAAAAACGAGCAACCAAATTCTGTTTAAACTCGTCCATTGTGTGAACAAACTTCATATTAGAACAGCAAGATTCCTTTCGATTTCTATTAAAGTAAGTACTAACTAAAAAATATCATATATGCATCGATGTTTATGTATTGTCTTTGGATATCTTGTTATCTGTACCTCTAAACAATTTGTTTTCATGATCATTTAATATACGTTTCGATCCGATTGTATGACTGTACCACTCGTAATTAAGAAGACCAAAATCAGCGTTATACCACACGATGTTCAACGGTAGAAGTCGAGAATAGCATTTGAAAAGAGGAGTCTGATAGACTTCACATAACTTTGCAAACCCTTCAATAGTAAAGCATGGATGAATATATAGACGCTCAGGGGGTTGTTCGACGGCAGAATAGTGACTTGGAACTTGTATGAGTCGTCCATCAACGACTTCATATTCATCTGTGAAGTATGGAGGTATTGCGCTTGGCAGTAACAGAACTCTTTCACGACCACATAACGCTTCCATTAGTTTTATGAAGTGATGGTCTAGTGTTTTTGCAATAGACCAAAACTGTTGGCTATTATCTACTGCTTCGACAAAATTGACTGCATCTATGCCGTCAAGAAACGCTAGTATACTGTATCCAACATCTTGATTCAGCTCAGCGACTGTGTTATCCATCATAATCAGTCAATAATTCATTTTCATCAAATATTATACAGTCAGTATATCTAAAAATAGTTGGAAACAGCTGATTGTTATGAAATGACTCGAGAATAAGAACATTTATCTGATCAATGAATACTCTATTTCCTTCTGCTTCGGTTTTTCTGTTATATACCGTTTCATTCATTTTCTTTGCTTTTTATTTCTCATGCTACTTGACATAGATGTGTCATCTTGTCAGTATACAGATATTTTTCTTTTCTTCTTCTTATCTTCTTCCATTCATTTTCTCTTGTCCTTTTCATGTGAACACTGACACGACTGACGAAATGGACGAGTAATGAGTCAATTTTTTTTCATTGCGCATCTTCATTGCCAATTATCACAAATGGCTGATGACACAGTGCATTTTCTTCAGTTTGGTGTCGACGATGTAGCAAGCTATATACTTACATTCAACGAGGACAATTTTATTTTTTACACAAGGAAATATTCATATTTTCATCTGTACAATATAATACAAATAAATTTTCTAATATGCCGTAAGTTTTAGGCTAATTTAATACAATACCGTGTTTCAAATATTGAACTATTTCAGGAATATCATTAAAATTTTCTTGCCATAAATGATTGAATTCTTCATTTTCAGATTCTGATAGTGAAATAGGCGAAACCATATTTTGATAGAGATTTGCATCTTCATGCAAAATATATTCGCTGATTTCATTGTCATAATCAATCGATTCTTGTTTTATAGGCTTTTCTTCTTTTATTTCAGTGAATTCTTCTTTTGTATGTTTATCTTCTTTCGTTTCAATTAATTCGGACGCTTGGTTGTTCCGTGCGCAAGTGCATGGAACATTGATCGCACCATTTTGGTCGGCAAATTGAATAGTTATTGATGGCATTGGCAGTGTAATACATATGGAACCATTTATCTATAATAATTAAAGGTATAGTTTAATGAATAAAAGCAATATTTTGATGTCAATACTTGATTGTAATCAATTAAAATTGATGCCGACATTTACAAAATTGAGACTTAATTCAGGTAGGCTGTTTTTTAATAACTATAAATATAGGTAAGCAATCTATATCATAGCAATCAAGATCTCAGATTAACAAAATTTCTGAGTAATAAGCCATTGATGAAATTGTTTAGGAACGTATAGGAACTTAATGAATTTGATGCATTCTCAATCAATTTATTTATACAAGCATGAAACAATGCGAACTACCAGTGATAATAACACTCCATCAACAGAACAAATGGAGAAAATGCGGACAGCGCGATCATTAAAAAGCCAACAACTATTATCAATTTAACACACCAACACATGATAGTATTCATATATATTAATATGAAGCGTTCTAATCGAAAAAGACGTCTAACAGCTTTTGTACACAGTAGTTGTCTTTGACTGAAAACTCATTGTTCATCAACCACCATATCTTCAAGTTGGAAATTCTTTCATGTACTATAATAAGCACAAGTCAAAGTTATGGTTTGGCAATGATTATACCGAAAGAAGAAACATACTCTCGTATATCTTTTTATTTTGTGCCATTATTTGTTCAGACACACGCCGAATGAATGTTTTAAAACAATCCTATGTGATTACGGATATGCTAAACTCTTACGAAAAGTTTACTTTCTTACCACATTTTCAAAATGATCAAGGTGACTTCTGAATGCATAGCGACAAATATCGATTGTTTTTTGTGGTGGAAATGGTCGGAAGGTAGGTTCTGTGTCAATAGGACTGAATGGGCATGGACGATATCTAACAAGTGAAATTTCTTTTATCGATTTCGCTGCTCTTCGAGCAGCATATGTTTCTTCTTCCTTTCGGAAGAAAAGATAAAACAATGACTTCCCATTTTGTGATGGAATGCGACGATACTTGTAGTATTTTAAATGCTGATGGAATTTTCCGCTCATATCTTTGTTAGTTATTTCAACATCGCTGCGATTATTGAGAACTAGTCTATATTCCATGTTAATATGCGCTGAAAACAATGTGAAATCGAATTCAGAGTTGCTTGAAAAAACAACAAACTTTTATTCCTGATTACTCAACATGACGAAGCTGACGACCATAGATATTTTTCTGGTGTGATAACTTCCAATCGTTCATTTCTTTCCCGTTCTTCTTCTTTTCACATCAACGTCTCAATAGACGGCTGAGTAAATAATAATCTGCTCGCCTCATTCTTTCCTTTTCTTTTATTTTCGTTTGAATTTAATGTACATCATTGCTTCTACGTAATGAATGTACATTGCTTAAAATGTTCTTTCTATTTCATGGCTGCATGAAGTGTGCATCAGTACACTCGAATTGGAACTGGATTTATACCTACACTACATAAGCCTCTTGCACTATTGTTCAACAATTTTGAGTAGAAAAGACACAACTAGACGGGTCACTTCTATATCGCTATTCTATCAATCTAATTTTCACCGCGATGCAATACACAAAGCAAAGCTTCATTTTTTTCTGGGAGAAACAATATCTCTCCTACGCTGCTCAGCTGATGACAATTTCTTAACAATTATTTTCCTTATACATTTTTCCTGCTCGCGCACATGTATTTCAAAATCAGTCGTTTGCTTTCTTAGTAGACCTATCTCACCACACTCCTTTTTAATACTTATAGCAAAATTTCAAATATCAAACGAAGAATGCTTTGCTAACGAACGATCACATGTGACTAACGTAAGTAATGAAAGAACAAGCATAAAGATCTGTACGACTAAATACATATAGTCAGGACGTTAGTTAGAGTACTAGCGTCTTGAAAAACGGAAATGGAGTATAGTTCCATCCGATGTTAATTTCAATAAATGTTTAATTTAACTTTCTTACTTCTGTACGTTCACTGTGTTGACTAACAGCAGTGCTTAAAAGATGATCAACGAAGACGTCAAGAAAACTAGCGATGGCATGTGAGATTGTGAGATGTGAAAGTATTCGAAAGAACTGACCTTAACTACTACATTTTTTCAACATTTTCATATGCAACTATGTTACTGATTATATATGTAAATATCGGAGAAGAAAAAGCATTTAATAGAGAAGTGCCACAATGGCTCAGTGTCCACAACGGATCAGGTTTTTACCTTATTGGAAATCAAACTTGCTTGTAATTCAAGATGATGTGCAAGATGAGTTTGTGAAATGAATTGATGAATATTGCTTTAGTTGGTCCCTATTTATAGTCGAAGATGATCTGATCATTTTTTGTTTCTCTCAACTACTATTGGTTGATCACTATTGTTCAAAATGAACTTGGACCAATCAATGATGAATACCGGACTTGTTCTTCTCTCTTTATCAGCAAAGAGAAACGACTCGAAATGATTTATGCCACGTTAATTACATGTTCTTATCTTTGAAATGAGGCGTACATCGAGTTTTCCAGTGCATTCTATTTTATGTCATCCATTATTTGTCTTTGCCGTATTGGGATTCACATGAAACTTCAATTTCTCGCAAAGTTTATTTGAACTGATCAATAAAATATGTCATTGAAAAATTCGACTTCGAATTGAGCCTAAAGAAGAAAATCAGTCAATAGATGATGTAGGACACAAAGTATCGTAGTTTTATGCATAGCTTTTTTTGTGCAATGGAGATATTAAGCATGTTTTAGTACTTCTAAAGTGTTCTTTTAAACTTGTTTGTTTTTGAAGAAATGACATTCAATCCCCTTGAAATATGTACGTATTATTAGATGTACGTTTTGATTCGAGCATCTTTGTTGAGCTTCATAGTTATTTTTTAAAGTTTATGTATGCCAATAAAACGTCTATCATTTCATTCACTTAATCGAATGATTTAGAAGTCTACGTTGATCCGGCATTTCAATCATGAGCTCAATTATTGATTAGAAATTGCAATTGACTCTAGTTTCTTTTATTATGAAATTTAGAATTTTGCCACCTTTCAAAGATTGTGACAGATAGAGATATTATTTTCAAGATAACTATTTCCTTTTTCGCTTTTAGCGAAAGCTCTTTTTCTCAATTCGTAAATTTCATACATAATGACTTGTTGAAAGAAATCGTAAAAAGAATTTATATTTTTTCGAACTTAAGTCACTCATTTATTCAATTTGAGTTTACGTGTATATTTGAAGCTGACATACTATTTTCTTATCATTATTAATGGCATAGACAGCGGTAGTCAGACTACAGATTTAAACGTGATCAATACTCCTTTATCAGACACAACTAGCAGTCACGGTCATGTAACAGTCATGATCGTGTAGTAGTCACAGTCATGTGACAGTCACGGTCACGTCCATGATTTGATCAGAAAAATCACCACGAGCGACGTATCGTGACTCACGATAATCGTCTATCTTTTTTGTGAGATACCTTATCGCTTCAATAGATGTGTACGTGGTACAAACCAGCTATCCCTTTTTGGATCAATCACAACTCAATCAATTCAGTCTATATTTGTCAATTGCATAGAAACTAAAAAAACTTTTTCTGCTCAAAATATTCATCGAATAACTTTTTTCTCTTCCCTCCTGTTTCATCTCCTTTCCTCTTTCACACATTTCTCTCTCTCTTATGTTTCGCTGACATGTTTGAATATGTTCAGTTGATGATTATATTCAATCACAAATAGACGCGGAAGAAAACAACGAGCATCACTCTCGGTAGAGGCCATCTCATCTCGAAATCTATCAGCTACACACAGACTTTTGCAGTAGGTTTTGTACAGTTTAGAGCGCATTCATAACGTTATGGTTTTGTATTCGTACTGTCAGCTATTTCATGAGACGTCCTCCTTTGATTTCCAAGTGAAAACAGCGAGTTAAAGAACTGTAAAAAAGAAAACATCATCTCGAATCGACTCACGAGCATTCTATCTGCTATTTTTGAACATGATCCTAGCCAATTCATGAATAGTCGTAGAACTTTTCGTCAGAAAAATAACCCAAAAGAATTTCTTTCGACTTCTTTCAAAAATTGCTTCTAGATTTAAATCGTACTGTGCATTGACAAACCCAATATGGTTAGTAAAAATCAGACGAAGAAGCCTCAAACAAAGTTAATGCAGCTCGTCTGTCTACAAGCTGCATTAATGCGCGCGTACTATAGCGGTTCGTCATGGGAGACGTGTGAGAAAATTCAATCGAACAAAAAATCATCTTTATGTAGTATAAATAAAGCCAAACAAACGTCTCAATCTCATCGTAAAGTTGAGAAGCATGTTTCGCATGTGCCAAGCTCGATTGAGAAGGTATGCTTGAATGAGGAGTATATCTTTGTACATCTATTCTAATTGATTTCTATTATTCAATGTTTTTTTCCATAGGACTCAGTTCTGTCGAAAAAAGGTACTCAATCAAGTAACACCAATGATGTTACGACGAATTTAGAAAATTAAAAATTGTTCAGATGAAAAAACAATTCTTGTTTATACTTGTGCTCTTATATGTACATTTGTGCCTATAGTTTAATGAATTATTACATTAATTCTTTATATATCAATGTCTTAATAAAGCTAGGTAGAACGGAATAGGACATGTCTTGTTGTTGTACTCTTTGAAATTATAAACAAGAATATAGAATTCTGCGTCAGTCGATTGGGAAGAAACTCACAATTTCTTTGAAATGCATCTCACAATGAATTATTATAGAGAGATTTCTTCGTAAAATGGACATACTTTGTGAAGGTCGATCATAGAAGAAAAACTAGAGGAGTGCGATTGTTTTCTTCATTTAAAGTATACACATGCATACATAACAATTGAGCTAAGTGACTAATCAAAAATTGCAATAAACTCTACGATGCAGCTAAGAATCTAAGTATGCAACACTTTCAGATTGTGAAAATTTTTGCATTTATGCAACCTACTGCATTTTGAGAACAATAACATGTGACGTATTAAACGAAACAATACGATTATTGTACAGTGATGATGTTTCGAGCGACATCATGTTTACTCATAATCCATTCGCGCTTGTGTCGTACCTGTTCAGTGGAATTGTTCAACCATTGATGCTTTCAGAGTTGAATGACTTCAAATATGGACAAAACTAGCGAGAACATTTTTCATGTCATATATGGGAGATATAGATAAATAAAAAATTAGAGAATATGTAGAATTTCAGCTACTTGAATGTCTTTTAAATAAGATTACTTTATCAAAAATACAAAAGATAAAAAGCCTTTCCACAACAACAATGATAATGAGGGGAACAAGATGGGCGTCTGACGAAGTTTAAATAAATTTGATGGTCGCCTAGTTGTAGCAATTGTATTATATGAACTACAATGTAAATTACAAAATTTTCCAGCTCTATTCGAATCTGTAAGAATGGAGATCATTTGAAATAAGTAGCTGTTGATATTGGCGAAATAGGACCCCAATTTTGATAAAATAGCTCTAGACGACGTTTTTTCCACGCTTACTACTCCATCGAACACTTTTCAACTTCAATAAGACTATAACTATTCGGCGGAGTTTTTTAAGCTCTCTCTGACTATGAACTTTAAGCGAAAACAAAATATGCGGCAGCCGGTCCAGAAATGCAATTTACGTGAAAAAATGTCTTCTTTTTCTGTTAAAACTGTTATTCATAGATGATTTTTTAGGAATTATTCACTTTTTTGTGCGCAGACATTGTTTGAATGTCACATGACGTAGATAACGATCAGAAAGCGTGATATAAAGTTGTATTGAGTAGGAAAGAGGCTATTTTTATCGATATATATGATTTTTCTTTCGTCCTTTGATGATTGTATATGTAAAAGGAGTGCACAGAACGAAAGAAAAAGCAGACAACCATTGAACAAAACGTGTGAACGTTACATCCGTCAGTTAGAATTCTACTTTAATACTTCTTCAACTTCTGAAATAGCTGTAAACCATTTGATATAAAGTTGATATCATGCCATTCCGCAAGACTTCTTCTAAAAGCTGTATGCCTTGTGGTAAGCATTTTCTAAAGGGAGAGCGTGTTCATTCGTTTAATTTATCGAAGGAATGCTGTAAATTTTTTTCTGATACAAAAATATTCGAACTCTGAGTCGAGCAACCGTGTTACATGCGGATTCATCGGGAGTGTCGAAATTATTCGTCTGAAAATCATGTAAGAGATGTTTTTGGAAAAGTGGACAATGTTGTACAAACTGAACCAACCGAACCTGATGCGTTGTCAACAATGGTCAATACAACAAATCCAAAATTGGCAACAGTAACACCAACCACTGCATATTCAAATATCGGTTCTCCAACAAAACGACAGCGAACTCTTCCTGGTATATTATTAGACAGTACAATATTATCTCCCAACGATGATATGATTGAAATGCCATTCTTCAAATTACCATTTTAAAAAAGTCGTTGTTGTGTATGCAATGCAGATTATACGTTCAAAAAGAGAGCCAGCTGTTAAATAAATGCCATGATGCGTTCTGAAACTTTACGTATTCATCATATTATAATTCGAGACGGAAGTACTTGCTCTCATAAATATCTTGGCAAAAACGAATTAGTTCCAGAGGCTATCACTTTAGTCAAGAAGAACAAGTTAAATATGAATAGATTTAATCGAGAAGAACTATTATCTGCATTCAATGATGTCAAGATGGCGTATTATGGACTTGAATCAACATTGGACAGAGTCAATCGACGACCGCCAATTGATTTCGACGACTCTGATCGGTTTACAACGTCACAGTATTTTGTTATCACAGGCATCACAAAAGAGAACTTTAATGACATACGTTCTAATATTTCATCTATCAGTCTTCGACATACTGAACTACGTTTCTTTGTGCAAGATGAATATCTATTTCATCAAGAAGAAGACGCTTGTGAACCCTACGAACGATCACTCTCCATTGTCTATTAAAGAAGACGTCTAGCGGCTGAATGGTAGAAGTTGTTTTCCATGGAATTTCTAGTCGCTTAAGTCTTTTAATTGATTCATAAATGCCTTTTCCATATGTCTGTCCAGGCCAACTATCAGAAAGAAGTAATACAGACTGTGATGTCAGTGATGGAATAAGACACTCATTACGCCAATATTCAACTAATGACGTAGTTAATTTTCCTGATGCGCTGTATGTAACAACAACATTCTTCAACTGCGGAAGATTTGCTTTAATATTATCGTTCATTCGACCATTTACTTCTTTGAGACATATATAAACAGGGCCGAAGATCTTACCACTCATGGTTATCGTCGGTTGAACCGTATAACTATGAGTAGTTGCATTTACTGAACGTACGGTGGCAAGTGTCCTCTTTTCTCCTTGATATGAGAGAGTTCGAATTGAGGGAAACTCAAGCTGAAGTCCTGCTTGATCTGTATTAAATACGAAATCTTCATTATAATAAGGTAACAATGATTTAACTTCAGAAACAAATTGATCAGCTGATTTTTTAATTTTAGCTTCATTGACGATCTCACGCTTTGTTACTACCTAGAAACTAGAAAAGAAGCGATTTACAGATCAACTTATCCTATAAAACTTTCGTATGGTTGGTATGATTTGTTTCCTAACCTTTATAATTTTTCTCGTGCAAATATTGTGTTTGTGTTTAAAATTCAAGATCCAATGATCTGACGAGACGAAACCATGCAATGACATCATCCTTGCTTTTCGTACAGCTCATCTTTTCAAATCAATATCATGTACTGCGCAGAGAAGATCCCGAGCACGCTCGAAGTTGTTATAAACGTAGTCGTCTACTGAATCCACCTTTTGTTTCTTCGTTCCCCCTTTCTCAATATAGTCTCGGACGCGGGACATATACGATTGATCTTTGATTCTTCTAAATTTGTTCTGAACATTTCTCCATGTATGAGATCGTTTTCCCGTTTTTGGATTAATTGCATCATAATAATCAAGCGCTCGCTTCATATATGACAAAGAAAATGATTCGAACACCGGATTTTCTTCGTCTTTTGCTTCGTAATCCAAATCTTCCTCGCATTCCTCAATTTCATTATCCATTGTATTATGATCGAGGGTAATTTCATTTTCTTCATTGTATGACGTGCTTGTCCATATTGACTCGAATACATTAAACAACTGATCAGCAATTTCATTTTCCTGAATATGCGTAAGTGATGACGAAGCTGGAAGTTCTTTACGTGTTCGTTCTTGGAACAATTTCATTATTCGGTTTATTTCACTCATTGTTTTTTCAGATTGTGATAAAACTACGTGATACATTACTATATATTCTTGAGTGAAAGTTTTTCTTTTTCTTTTTACTTACTGCACCATTCTACGCATACTATAACACGAATAACCACTGATAAATAATAAATAGTTTCTTTCACACACTCTCCTTTTTTATTTGATATTTACACATGTACAGAATAGGATAAATTCATTTCATTCTAAAAAATATATCCATCAGGCGAATAAACACGTTGAAATTAATCATCATACATATATATATAACACTTTCAAAATAAACACTTTTCCTATATAGAAAAATTTGAATTTTCGGTAAAACTGTAAATATCGCTTGTAACTTGAAAAACTGATAACTTTTACTGAAAGCAACTTGCGCACGAACCAACTCAGGATATATTACACCTAGGTATGCCCTACCTACCCGTCACATTTCGAGCCATAAAGCGTTTTGACACGTCGGGTGGTTTCCTCGTTAGTGGCGTACTAACTGTTTCAGTACACAAAAAGCATAGTGAAGATAGTGCTAAACTGTATTAAAATCTAATGATGCAAGGCCACATAGCACGCGTACAGCGTTTGTACGCGACATATTGCCACAGATAGAGGCTCAAAAAAAAATCTTCATTCTCATCATCTAATATTGCTCGCCTTCAAGAATATCGATAATCAATTATTGAATGTGAAGCAAACTTGTGACGCGAGGAGATTCTTATGTCATGAGTCCATACTCATTTCGCAAAATCCTCTTACGGAAAAGGTACATAATTACAAACCTGTAAATTATAGACGACATATAAGCTGCAAGAATATGCGAGTCGGACAGAGACAGAGAAGCACAAGAACTAACACGTCTCTGAATTAAAGAGAGCTAATCTACTTTTAAACTTGATTTAACATGATATGATACCGGGAGCAGCTAGTCATTCGTTGGCGCCCCTTTGGGGCGTCACTCATGAGTAGACGCACTTATCGTCCCGATGTATATAATTAGATTAGCAACTCATATGATCAGGCAAAAATCTCTAATTGATCATATTTTCCTGGCTTATGTACTTGCAGACGAGTCTGAAGGAAAACGAATATCTATTTTATTTCATTATCGTATATAGCCCTTAAGCTTTGAACTCGCTAAAATTTCAACTATACATTGCTATCCAAATCTCTTAAACCAATATATAAATCTTGCACCCTATAAATGAAGATTCGTGGATACTTCCTTGAGAGCTGGCACTATAGGCGCATGATTTGAGTCAAAGTGGTAGGTGAGAACGAAACATTATGTTGAACGCCTCTCCAAAGAGAATGTTATTTAATTTCCGAAATGTAGGCGAACATATTTCCCAAACATTCAATGCATCTTATCATTAAATACAATCTCCTTCGGTCGAGCGCACCAGTAAGAAATCAAGGCATCAATAGTGCATTATCACCTCTCTATCATAGTTCTAGGATGATTGGAGGGGCTTGTGCGCTAGGTTTCCTTTATAAAATCTAAGTAACGTATCCCTCCCAAACGACACAACTTTCTTTCCTAAAAGATTTGAGAAAAAGGTTTTTTGACGTTTGACCCTTGACCTGCGACACGCACACAAACGAATTTGAATTTTCTGACCACTTTTTACGGCATGACCTTCATTGCAGTCGAGAGAAAAAAAATATTTTATTTTTTCATTTATTACGACCGAATTCATCGTTTTCGGTATGTTGAAGTACTTTATTCTTTTAATGTCATATCTCAAGTGTGTCATGCTATATATAGAGCCGATGACGCATTTTGAATCTCTAATTCATAGATTTAATGAATTAAATGAGGAATTCATACATAAAAAATAAGGCAGAAATTGAATATGTTAGATATTTGCAAAGTGTCTTTTTAATTATCGAAAATAAGATTGTATTGCTAAATATAAATTCTTTATGAATGGAATGATAAAATCTGAATTTAAGAATTTTATGAAAATGAAATATTTACGTTTTTTCTATGGCGTATGAGATCTGTTTTATATAGTCATGTGAAAAAAAGTTTTAAAAANCTATCTTCATGTTTATTCAAAGATCGTGTATCATATTAAATGTAACGAAACAGTTAAAAGAATTGAAAAATGCATCTCGATTGATGTCTAATATTAAATTTAATCGATACGAGTGTCATATGAATTAAAATAAATTTGTATACTTACTTGTGACGAGATCAAATACAAATGTCATCCATCAGGAATGAAATGAGGATCACATCGAATAAAATAGGTTAACAGCGTTGTATATGCACTTGTCTGCATTATTTTCAATATTCCACCTAAAAAATATCAACTAAGACTGTTCTCCAAATTTTGCACTTCATAATGAAGTAGTTAGACGAGACGCTGGTTTGTGATCTATATAACGTTTAACAGATATAGTATAAATCGTTCACGCAATCAAACGAATCATTGTTCGATGAACATATGAAAGTAATCATACTTTGAATTAAATCGATAACTAGTGAATGAATAGAGTAATGAGGGGCAATTGCATATAAAGTGAAGCGTTGCAAGGTAACAGAATAAATACTTGAAAAAGATCAGGAAACAGTGTTTTTTTCTGATTAGTTCTTTTAGCAATAGACGAATCTAGTTGAAAAACGTGTTGTACAAACTATACGTGCGAACAGGCACGTCTATTTAGATAATATATCTTACAAGTTATCGCTCGGAGATGTCAGTTATGAGTTAGTGTCCTTGCGCAATGTTCTTTTCTTACTTTCGGTATAGTGTACGACACATTTTTGGAGAAAGATACGATGTAGTTAAACATCTTCTACAATGAAGAATAGCGATAGTACTATTACTCCAATCTATCTTCGTGATCATAAATAATAAAAGAAGAAATAAAATGCTTCAGCAAGAACAAATATTATCATCTCACCCTCTTTTCCGTTACACTATAACTAACGAGGGAACCACCCGATGTGTCAAAATGCTTTATGACTCGGAGTGTGATGGGTAGGTAGGGCATACACCTAGGTATGATATATCCTAAGTTGGATCGTGCGCAAGTTGCTTTTAGCAAAAGTTATCAATTTTTCAAGTTACAAGCGATATTTACAGTTTTACCAAAAATTCAAATATCTCTATATAAGAAAAGTGTTTATTCATCTGATGGGTATATTTTTGAGAATGAAATGAATTTATCCTATTCTGCACATGTGTGAATATCAAATAAAGAAGGAGAGTATGTGAAAGAAACTATTTATCATTTATCAGTCGTTATTCGTGTTATAGCATACGTAGAATGGTGCAGTAAGTAAAAAGAAAAAGAAAAACTTCCACTCAAAAATATATAGTAATGTATCACGTAGTTTTATCACAATCTGGAAAAACAATGAGCGAAATAAAACGAATAATGGATTGTTCCAAGAACGAATACGTAAAGAACTTCCAGCTTCGTCATTACGTACGTATGTTCAGGAAAATGAAATCGCTGATCAGCTGTTTAATGTATTCGAGTCAATATGGACAAGCATGTCATAGAACGAAGAAAATGAAATTACCCTCGATCATAATACAATGGATAATGAAATTGAGGAATGCGAGGAAGATTTGGATTACGGAGCAAAAGACGAAGATAATCCGGTGTTCGAATTATTTTCTTTGTCATATATGAAGCGAGCGCTTGATTATTATGATGCAATTAATCCAAAAACGGGAAAACGAAGAAACAAAAGGTGGATTCAGTAGACGACTACGTTTATAACAGCTTCGAGCGTGCTCGGAATCTTCTCTGTGCAGTAAATGATATTGATTGAAAAAAATGAGCTGTACGAAAAGCAAGGATGATGTCATTGCATAGTTTCGTGGCGACAGATCATTGGATCTTGAATTTTAAACACAAACACAATATTTGCACGAGAAAAATTATAAAGGTTAGGAAACAAATCATATCAATCATACGAAAGTTTTATATGATAAGTTGACCTGTAAATCGCTTCTTTTCTAGGTAGTGACAAAGCGTGAGATCGTCAATGAAGATGAAATTCAAAAATCAGCTGACCAATTTGTTTCTGAAGTTAAATCATTGTTACCTTATTATAATGAAGATTTCATATTGAATACAGATCAAGCAGGACCTCAGCTTGAGTTTCCCTCAACTCGAACTCTCTCATATCAACGAGAAAAGACGACACTTGCCACCGTACGTTCAGTAAATGCAATTACTCATAGTTATACGGTTCAAACGACGATCACTATGAGTGGTAAGATCTTAGGCCCTGTTTATATATGTCTCAAAGAAGTAATTGGTCGAATGAGCGATAATATTAAAGCGAATCTTCAGCAGTTGAAGAATGTTGTTGTTAAATGCAGCGCATCAGGAAAATTAACTACGTGATTAGTTGAATATTGGCGTAATGAGTGTCTTATTGCATCACTGACATCGCAGTCTGTACTACTTCTTTCTGATAGCTGGCGTGGACAGACATATGGAGAATAATCGTTCATAGGGTTCACGAGCGTGTTCTTATTGATGAGATATATATTCATCTTGCACAAACAGAGAATATAATTCGCTTACAATCGATTATTCATAATCAACTTTCCTCTCCAGTTTTCGTTCCTATGATACGATATGCATGGTTCAAAAGTGGATATACTGATGTTGATCCTCGACCCATTTTAATCAGTTACACAAGTATGCTTCAAATTCAAACAAGATTATTGTGACGTACATTCATGCGATCAATATGCATTCATTCGATGTAGTCACTGTAGCAAAATATTTTGTTTTTAGGACTTTATCCTTATTTTTCATATCCATGATATCTGACTAATCTAAACCAGTGTTCTATTTTCATTGTTATTCCATTATGCTTGTTTTTTTTGCCATAGTAATCACGCATACATTCAAGGAAAGTTTATATTGAAAAATGTTGAAAAAAAAAACAGGAAAAGGCCAAACTTTAGTTTTCAACAGCAAATAATTAATTAATTCCAGCAGAATCCGTAGCATTTTTCAAACCAACATTTTCTTATATAGAAAAATTTGAATTTTTGGTAAAACTGTAAATATCGCTTGTAACTTGAAAAATTGATAACTTTTTCTAAAAGCAACTTGCGTACGATCCAACTTAGGATATATCATACCTAGGTATGCCCTACCTACCCATCACACTCAGAGCCATAAAGCTTTTTGACACTTCAGGTGGTTCCCTCGTCAGTTTTTGCTACACTCTTCTCGTTTTCTGATGAGAAAGTTGTTGACTGTGTGATTCAAAGTGCTCGCCTCTCTGTCATGGATTATTTTGTTCCCAAACATTTGGGTTTCAATCATATACCTAGACGAGACGTTATTGATCAACATACTCGTCCATTGGCGAAACAACTTTTTTGCCAATCCTGGAGACCGCAATGCAATTCTTATATTAGACGGAACTTACGTTTATGTGCAAAAATCAGCAAACAATGTTTTACAGAGATGTCTATTTTCAGCACATAAAGGTCGTCCATTGATCAAATCGATGATGATTGTGTCAAGCGATGGTTATATCATTTCAATGATTGGTCCATATTTGACTGACTTTACAAACAATGGTGCATCAATGATAAGACACATAGTATTAAATAGTGGAGAAGGCATTATAGATTGGCTCCAACCACACGATATATTTATAGTTGATCGAGGTTTTCGTGACAGTTTACCTTTATAGAATAGTTTGGTATACCAAACTTACATGCCTGCCTTCTTGGAAAAAAGACTGACAGTCAATTAACAACAGCTGAAGCAAATGAAACACGATTTGTTACTAAAATTCGTTGGGTAGTGGAGTCAGCAAATGGCACAGTAAAGACGTGGGGACTTTTTGATCGTGTAATGGCAAATTCAATGATACCAATTACAGGTGATCTTCTGTCAATTGTTTGTACACTTATTAATGCCTATCGACCGCTCTTTGTTCGAGACGTTTCAAATGACGATAAAGTTGCTAATACTATATTAGGTCGTGTTAATCAGGGTAATGAACTCAAAGATTACATTGATCGATTGAAGAACGAGAAAGAAAAAAAATCGAAGTGGATTCGAATCGACGCTAACGATGCTGTTCGTGACTTTCCTATTCTCGATCTTGATTAACTCAACGAAATAACTCTCGGAGTATTTCAATTGAAACAGGCAAAAAGATATGTCATGGGACACTTATCACGAGATGGATCATTTACTGTTCATGTAGCCAAGCAACGCAAAGATATCATACGAGCTCAGTTACAATCCAGACACAGAAATGCAGTTATATACAATCATTATATCCAATACAATGCAGCTGAAATTCTAGGGTGGTACTGTCATTGTCGTTCCGGTAGTAGAATTATTCAATGCACACAATCGAAAAGAAAACTTATCTTTAAATAAATACTAGAATAAATCAGTGAGAGTCATTTGACAAGAAACAACGTGACTAATATGAGAAAGCTTCATGTTGAAACGTGAGTGAATGTATAAGAGCGAATTTGCCTCATGACATATTGACGTTATTTCATTCCGTTCTTAACAGTTGCGCACAAAAAAGTGAATAATTCCTAAAAAATCATCTATGAATAACAGTTTTAACAGAAAAAGAAGACATTTCTTCACGTAAATTGCATTTCTGGACCGGCTGCCGCATATTTTGTTTTCGCTTAAAGTTCATAGTCAGAGAGAGCTTAAAAAACTCCGCCGAATAGTTATAGTCTTATTGAAGTTGAAGAGTGTTCGATGGAGTAGTAAGCGTGGAAAAAACGTCGTCTAGAGCTATTTTATCAAAATTGGGGTCCTATTTCGCCAATATCAACAGCTACTTATTTCAAATGANACCTTAAACCTATCCCAATTTCAAGAGGCAGTCTTATGAAATAATTTGGAACCGTTTGAGTAATACAATTCTTCTTTATCGAATGCTCCTGAGCAGAAACTGGTATCCTTAGATATCAGTGAACTCTCTTAATCAGTTGTCGATCGGAACGGTTACCGACTAGAACGTTTACTGTGGATGATTGATAAGGTATACTACGAAAAAATTATTTTGTTTTCAGTCTCTATCAGCGTCAAAGATGGTATGTCAAAGGAAAGGAAACAAAGAAAGTGATGCATCAACCATCTCCATAACTTCGCGTGGCAAGTCAGATGTTAGGGACGTGAAATTGACAAATATGATCTTTGAACCCAAGAATCTAAGTCAGTAAAATGATTGTCATAGAATTAGGGGATTATATCTTGACTTGATATAATTTGTTGTAGCTGTAAATTATTTCGATAGAATCCGATGTATCAAGCGTCGTAGCTGTTGAAATTGATTAGCAAGGTCGAATATTAAAAGAGCTTCAGAGTGTCTGATCGTAAACGGTGTTCGACACGAGCACTGACGAACGATGACTGATTCCCGGTTCTACTTCTTTCTTTACGAATGAAAGAAGTCAAACTAGATTATACTTTGAAATTTATAACAACTTATCTTGCTTAACAGTATTCATCAGTGTATTGATAAAAAAGAGAAATGTTTAGACATAGAAAAGACATGGTAGTCGCCCTATGCTCGTTAGTGTTTCATTGGAATAGTGGTTTCGAAGACGAACCTACGATCGACGAGGAGCATCATAACAACTTCTCTTATTCATTTGTGTAAAACAAAGAATAGTGACAAGAATTATTGCGAAGTCATTGCTACATGCATGTTTTCTATCTTTTCTCTGAAAAACACATGGATATTACCTTATCTTGAGTTAATAATTATTTACTCGAGATGCAGGGGAGTCATCCTCAACAAGCGTTGTTTATCCATCGATTATAAATAAAAAATTGTAATAGATATGTTAACTAATTCTGCGTTCTAAGACGGTAAATTTCGGCAATGAAGTATTAAAACATGATTAAACTATTCCCTATATCACCCAATTCCTCCAAGTGAGTATTTGCAAAATTTCTCTCATCTATTAAAGTTCTCGCGAATTTCTACAAACTTCATATTTAACCTAAAATTTTATGGTTTCGAGGACATCTAAGAAATCCTGACGTTTCGAAAAGATTTCAATGGGATTCCCGAGGACTCTCAAGGATTCTATAAGTTACTGTAGAGAAATTAGGATTTCGAGATTTCGCTCTTTCCCCTTTGTACTCATTGCTATTGTATTTTGTTCATCATTTGTTTTAGATTGCAGATTGTTCAATTTTCGGCGCATACTAATGGCAGATTTGAAATCAAATACAGCGGATACTGCGGCTACCAATAAGTCAAATAGTGGTAAGTGTTTCAGTGGATATTTTTGTTTACATGATGTAGAATAATCACTTTAGTCATCAGAAGTTCATGATGCGACATGTAGTAAAATAAATAGCGCTTATTAACGTTAATCGCTTGATCATCAGCCGAATAATTATCAGTCCTGTAAGGACGAGTAGGGAAAAGGGAAATCTCGATGTCTTTGTTGTGTCTTATCTGTCAATTTTTGGACCAGTCAGATTCCAGGATTCCAAGAATACTGTAGTAGAAAATGTGTATTGAAACTGTCATTGTAGTGTGAGTGGACTACGCATCGAGTTATGACTCTAATGCTGGATGGAATCGTGCCATATGGTTTAGAGCCCAATAGTAGATGATATTTGAGAGTAGACTTAGATGTCTCATACTGGGTGATATCTAAGGTGTGTTATAAACCTTAGTGGTGGTTGAATTTATTAGTGGGATCTGAACCTCGTCATTAGTCGAAATGCGTGTGTGCAATGTGCTCGGTGGTCTAATTCTAACTTAAACGTTTTCTGACTACAGCATAAATGCGTTCATTTTGGCCGTTTGGGTTGGTTAGTTAGTTGTACTTATAGAATATGTTGTAGGGCTTCTATTTTGCGCCTGCTGGACTGGACGTCTTCGTCGATATCGAAATGTACTGTGCTGATGTTGCTAATTTCTTCCAGCTTATTAAAAATTTCAAAATTATCCAAGAAGTTCTTATTTTAAACTTTCGTCTAATCTTATGTGATTTTCATTGAAATCAGCAAGTAGGGAAACTACTCTAAATGTAAAACATACTTCAAAGTTCCTGGAAGAAAAATATTGAGCGAATGTTATTTAATACTGATGAAAAAATTAACGGATGGATGCGTATAAGGATCCACGTTTTCGGCCCTTTTCAATCTGGTCTAAGCCGGTTCGTATGGCTGGTAGAATGAAAGATCGGACGAGCTTAATCATTTCCGTCCTAGGTTGAAGGTATTATAGCGAATTTTACGTATACGCCGTGTCTGTCCTAATTATAAGGAAAATGGCTCGTATAGATATTTGCAACACTGCATATGTTCACACCCTTTTGGTATCGAAACGTTTTTTCCAGTAAATAATTTTGTAGGCTGTGCTCTGAATAAGAAATAGTTCCTAAGTATGTACCGAATTATATGAAATTTTCTTCAAAGATTTCGACTCACACCCGCCGTATTTTCATATAAGAAGATCGACAACTGAACACCTAGTCTTTCTTTGATCATCTTCCTGTCGGCCACTCACGACTAGTTAATTTTGTATAAACTATTTGTCACTCTATCATCCTTTAAAGAATCAATCTGATTGTTACACAAGACGGAGTCATTCACAGCTTTTCTAATTTTACATATAACACCTCCAATATATTATGTCGCATTATCTACCATACATCATATCGAAAATGAAAATAGTTTTCGCACCTAACCATTTCTTCAATGCAATTGACACTCCTTGGAATTTTTGTTAATATCCTCACACTTCCTTCTCAGGTTGGTCAGAAGTTCGTTTACCATCCCTAAAAGGTTCCTAGTTTTCTCATGAAATTTTTGAAAGGTTTTGAATTCTTTTCAAACTGTCAAGTTCATTCAATGTTTCGTTTGATTTGATAGGCGTTTCGGTGTAGTCTTTATTTCCGACAGAATCTTTTCGTTAAGCATACGGAATTACTTCTGCTTTTATCTGACATCTTTTTCTTTCCAGCGCACGCTTTTGGATTCATCTTTTGCATTAAGCAATTAGTATTATCCATTTTTATCTTCATATTGTGACAAAATCCTTGAGTGAAGAGCCACAAGGACAAGAATGAAGCTGTAGATTACTTTATTTCTTCAGTGCAAACCAACTGCCTTCCTGTGCGTTCGCCGTCCTTTATATAGTCCTGAAACGCCCAGAATCGTACCATATGAAGATGTCACAAAAAATCACCTGGTCATCATATGGAGAGATCAGCGGATCAAAGTTCGAAGAGATTAGATGTGTGAGAAACCACATATGTGCTGAGGACAAAACACTGGTAAGGACAAAGATGTGGATCCTTTCCAATCATCGCATATACAAATACTCTTTCAATTTTTTCTTGTCAAGCGTATGAGGTTTTACAAGTTCTTTACAAGTCACTACGAGTTCGAACTAATTTTCAGAGTTAATATCTAGTCGCTCCTGTCTTTAACGACATATAAATAACGCAACGCACTGACAATCACATCGTACTGAAAGGCTATGATGTTGTAGCTCATCAGGCTCTAGATGAAACAGATACTCGTTTTAATTCTTGAAATGGCTGAGCTAGTTGCTGCTTCAAATTTTTGCTGTTGCGGAATTTGCCCACTACCATCATTGCATTTTGACTTCCAGTCGTTCATCGGTCTCCTTCCGGTCGATCACGCACGGCTAGCCGTCTCTATGCTTTACTATAATCTACCGTTCATCCTCACTTCAGTTTTCAAACCAATAAATGTATTTTGTGTTGACTTTGTGAGGGAATTTACGAGACGTTTCTCCGTAGAATCTCAAGAAACTGGTGAGAGAGAAATAATTTCTAAATTGGTGTGAATTACAAATAGCGTCCATTCTACAGATTCGTTGACTCTTTTCTGAAAGAATCGTCAAGATAGTTTTTATTTAAAAGCGCATTTTCCCCAAAGTTCCTGCGACAGAAGATTGCTACTCGCTAAATTGCTTACTTGCTCATTCGAATTTCAGCCACCGGACTGTTACTTGATAAGCAATCTTCTCAAAGCTTCAGAAAGAAATAAGCAGATTTCAGATTGCTCTAAATCTACTACTAACCTAAAATTCCACGTTCGTATTAATGATCTTCTTGCCGAATATATTTTGCTAGAGGTTAAACTGCGAAGAAAACTTTTTTCGCTTGTGTGGAAAATTATGTGACTCTTTCAAAAGGTCTCAATTCGCATTTATTAAACATCTGGTAAAAGTAGCATATCAACATTTAGTCGGTCGATCACTCATGACTGGATAATGGCAAATTGAGCAGGATATATCAGTCTTTAATTTTTCCTTTCTTTCGAGAATAGAATATCGATCGATTACTTTCTAATAGGAATATTAGTGCACTTATTTGAACGAAAAGCTCGCAGCTACTCTGTAAAAAAATCGGGTCATACTGAACCTTTTTTCGGTACCATTTTCAGAACCTTTTTTGGTTTTAGCCAAATGTACCACACTAGAAAAGGTTTCAGATTTCTTTGCTAGAACCCAAAATGTTCTGAAAATAAGATTCTGAAGATGGTACCCAAATCTAGAACCATAAAAGGTTTTAGCTAACGTCTAAAACCTTTTATGGATCAGTATCGCTTGGTTTTTTTTAGAGAGTACAGAGTTTCGTTTTATCACTAAAATTCCACGGTAATCTTTAACATCATCGACCACACACGACTAGCCGTTTCCATGCTTTACCAAATAACGAGTGATTTTCCGACCCAGGTCGAAAAATCCCATACTCGGATCCCATCGGATTTGTTGACCTGGAGAGTCGTGATACTTGCAGTTATCCGTCTATTCATAATTATGTTTCGTTCATCAATTAACTTATTCTTTCTTTCGAAAGAGAAAGATCTTAGAAATATAAATTTTCTGCTCACTTGTATGCTCGTAGGATCAAGAAAACGTCTACGGGCAAGATATTAAAACCTAAAGGCGCCTCATCTTTTCGACATAACTTTATCGAAATTGCACTGGAATCGAAACGCACGAGTCTGCTCTTAATCTTCGCAAACTGTATACATTTCAAGATCGGGAGGACTGTCGAACATTATTTCTATGTGGGAGAGCCGAACGAGTTCCTCGACGTGTGCCACTTGCCAAATTATTTACCCGTTAACAATGAAACTGAATTCAAATATTTCGCCATAAACAAATGATGTAAATATTCTTTTCTGTTTAAATGAGCGTATTGAACAGTGCATTCTTCCTTCCGTTTTCATAATATTGCTCGCCGCAATCATTCATAGGATACAGCGACAGAGATATGAACGTCTTTCAGCTGCTCCGAAATTTCTCTCGAATCTATTGTATCGTAAGCCATTATGAATCCATTAATTTTCACAGCTTTGTAAAAACTAACATTACAATCTTGTTCTTCGACCCCGAAAACCCTCTGATACTTTTTTTAATGGAAACTGTTGTTGTCACTATATCTATATATAGACAGTATCTTCTAATAATCGCAGTAGATGATCGAACGAACTTTCACTCACTCTGTGTACATAACCTCTTTGCAGTAGAGGTAACAGAACAAGAAAATGGAATGAACTTTACTAACAAGTAACGCTCATCCGCTCGATTCGCTGACCCTTCTCTGAAATAATGGTAAAAGTGCTTAGCAAAGTCACAAAGTGAAACGTGAATCTGACTGGATCAGAATTCAACCAAATTTTGTACGTAAATGCTTTTTAAAATGTTTCTCGTCTTTTCACCATTTGAAAAAGGATTAATTCATTTGCCGACAGAGAAAAGCAAAAACAAGTACTACTTGTAAACATTCATAAAATTTATCGCTTGATGTTCCTAAAAAATGTATCGCCCGTATCTATTTTCCTTTCTATAAAGCTCTTAAACAAACGTCTAGTCGCTCGTCGGTGTCCCTCCGATCGGCCATTCATGGCTAGCTGTTAACATAGACGCCTATATTGTTTCGTCTGCTTTCGATTCATTTCTCAAATGAATAAGTGAATTCTTTTTGTTCTCCTTTTGACAAGGCACATACTTTGTATTACTATAATTCTCGAAAAGAAAATAGAAAGACCATGTACTATTTTATGAGTAGCTGGAACTAGAGAATATTTGAACAGAATAGCGTTTTCCATGTTCGAAGTGTTATTTTCACTTTTGACGCACAGCTAGATCCCATACAACAACCACAAAAATCCATCTAGATTTTATACACATATTTCTTGTAAAAATTCTATCGAATGATCTGATATATAATAGTCGACCATGTAAAGATGTTTAAAAAAGAAGTTCACATAAGTATCGTAACTATTCTGCCAATTGCTTGGCTTGCAGTTTTCTTATCAATTTCTCACTAACTCCTGTACTCAGAATTTGTAAATAGTTCCAATGGCACATACCGCCTACGAAGACCAGCCCATGCATTAGTTTCTATCACCATTTTAAAAAGAGCTATACACATTCACATCTAGTATATTGAAGAGAGAGGCAAAAGACAATGGTGGAATTGTTTAGACAGAAATGACACCAGATACAAATTCATTACTATAGACAGTTTTCAATGCAGTATGAATACAGCTCGTGAAACATTGAGTTTTCTGGGACGAAAAGAACGAAACATGTCTCAGATAAATAATTTATCAGAAAGTAGCATTGGTTTTGAGATCCTCGAATTCGATTGCCCTTCGGTCGAACTTTGCTTCGTGCTGCGATCACTAAATAGTTTCTATCTAACAATGTTTCAAGCGAATGAACGAACAAACGAACACCAACTCGCTCTTTTCTGTGATATCTGCTCGATGCATAGCCCTCCTCCCCCTTTGAGTAGAGGGAATGAAGGTACCATCGGTTTCTCAATTTCTATATAGGTAGAGTACCCATAGGTCCTCACGTCCTATACTGCACCAGTACCCTTGAGTCTTCAAGTCTTATGGCAGGAGAGTGCCCATGTGGTCTCATGGACTGTTCTATGGGTGGCTGTTAGGTCCTCAAGTCATAAACTATGAAGGCATCATTGAATTTCCAATCCCCATACTACGCGAATACTCTGAAGACTTCGAACCGGATACCATGAGATTTCTCGCTAGCCCAACGAGTTATGGAAATGTGAAAACTCGAACTCGATAACTATTAATACTGATGTTTTCCTATTAAAATACTGATGCGTACTTAGGGTACACCAAAAGTTCGTAGAGTGTTACCTTAATCTCTTATGATAAGCCTTGAAGTACTTTCGATCTATATATTCATGAAGAGAAAAAGATGCTCTATCTTTCTATGCTATTTGATTGCACTTTAGGTAAAAGAATAATATCAAACTATCTGTAAAATCTATTTGAATTGATTGTATTAGATCATATTTTATCTGTCAATATATGTAGCAGTTGAAGTGTGACCAAATAGCGTAGAAAAATAGAGCTGTCTTTTTTCTCTCAGACGGTATAAAAGAAAGTTACTTTAACCCCATTACATGTTATTAAAACTTCACTGTCCGTACCCTTAGCATGCGAGAGGCACACATTGGACAATAAAAGTATGACATAGTACAACGGGCATATAGCCAACAGAAATAGATTGTATAGATCACTTAATGCCATGATGTTAGCTGAAGTACGATTAAATAGCATAGAAAGAGTGAATTTCTTTTTTTCTTTAAGAATATATAGAGTGGAAGTTCTTTGAGGCTCATCATAACAGATTAAAGTATCACTCTACGAACTTTTGGTACGCCCTAGGTATATTCTTCATGGATCTCCCGTAGGTTTTATGAAGTCTGCGTATGATTATAGTTCCGACAGATAGAAAACCCCAAATTTCACTCGAACGCAAGTCGTTGGAAATTCTGTATATGAAAAAATTTCTATCATTCGTTTTCGAGTAGAGGCACTACAGAATGAGTTGTCTTGGTGACACACTTTTTCAGTACACATGATTTCGGATGAAATCCGAGGTTTTCGCATTTATCTCTCAATAGTATAGACACTGAATCGGAAAGACAGATAAAGATATTCGAAATGATCTGAAGTGTTATATATTTTTCCTCAGGAGTAGCATCTTTAGCTGCACCGGAAAAAATAAAACAACCGCTGTGTCATGGAAATTCTTGTCCTCGCTGCGGCAAATGCTGTGATTGGCTTTATGATGGTAATTTCGATCGGGATTTTCAACGTTACCGCGCTAACTTAGGATACGATGTACTCAACGGAAATCGATGGCATCGTCGTGCTAATGGCCCAAGTATCACGTGCAGTTACTGGTTTGATTCTCATTTCGGCAGTGAAGGTGCAAGCAAGCGATTTGATTTTTGCCGCTGTGAATAATATTGTAACTGACATATCAATACTTATTATTTTCCTCTATTTTCTTTTTTCACACTAAAATTATCTTGCCTATACTCTTGTTCTATTTGAACTCTTCCACTTCCTGCGTATTGTTCTATTCGTGGTAAAATTTATCTATTACACATAACCTAGCCAAAGGTGAATTTAAATAAATCAGTACTACAACTTACGAGGGAACCACCCGAGGTGTCAGAAAGCTTTATGGCTCGGAGTGAGATGGGTAGGTAGGACATACCTAGCTATGATATATCCTAAGATAGTTCGTGCGCAAGTTGCTTTCAGCGAAAGTTATCAATCTTCAGGTCACAAGCGATATTTACAGCTTTACCAAAAATTCAAATTTTTCTATATAAGAAAAAGTGTTTATTTTTAAAGTGCGTTATATATGTATATGATGATTAATTTCAACGTGTTTATTCATCGGATGCGTATATTTTCGAGAATGAAATGAATTTATCCTATTCTGTATATGTGTGAATATCAAATAAAGACGGAGAGTGTGTGAAAGAAACTATTTATCATTTATCAGTCATTATTCGTATTATAGTATGCATAGAATGGTGCGATGAGTAAAAAGAAAAAGAAAAATTTTCACTCAAGAATACATAGTAATGTATCACGTAGTTTTGTCACAATCTGAAAAAACAATGAGTGAAATAAACCGAATAATGGAATTGTTCTAAGAACGAACACCTAAAGAACTTCCAGCTTCGTCATCACTTACATATGTTCAGGAAATTAAAATTGCTGATCAGTTGTTTAATGTATTCGAGCCAATATGGACAAGCACGTCATACAATGAAAAAAATGAAATTATCCTCGATCATAATACAATGGATAATGAAATTGAGGAATGCGAGGAAGACTTAGATTACGAAGCAAAAGACGAAGAAAATCCGGTGTTCGAATCATTTTCTTTGTCATATATGAAGCGAGCGCTTGATTATTATGATGCAATTAATACGAAAACTGGAAAACGATCTCATACATGGAGAAATGTTCGGAACAAATTTAGAAGAATCAAAGATCAATCTTATATGTCCCGCTTCCGAGACTATATTGAGGAAAGGGGAACGAAGAAACAAAAGGTGGATTCAGTAGGCGATTACGATTATAACAACTTTGACCGTGCTCGGGATCTTCTCTGTGCAGTACATGATATTGATTTTAAAAGATGGGCTGTACGAAAAGCAAGGATGATGTCATTGCATAGTTTCGCGGCGTCAGATCATTGGATCTTGAATTTTATGCACAAACACAATATTTGCTCGAGTAAAACTATAAAAGCTAGGAAAAAAATCATATCAACCATACCGAAGTTCTATATGATAAGCTGATCTGTAAACCGCTTCTTTTCTAGGTAGTAACAAAGCGTGAGATTGTCAATGAAGCTGAAATTCAAAAATCAGCTGATCAATTTGTTTCTGAAGTTAAATCATTGTTACCTTACTATAATGAAGATTCCGTATTGAATACAGATCAAGCAGAACTTCAGCGTCAGTTTCCCTCAACTCAAACTTTCTCATATCAAGGAGAAAAGACGATACTTGCCACCGTACGTTCAGTAAATGCAACTACTCATAGTTATACGGTTCAACCGACGATCATCATGAGTGGTAAGATCTTCGGCCCTGTTTATATATGTCTCAAAGAAGTAAATGGTCGAGTGAGCGATAACATTAAAGCAAATCTTCCGCAGTTGAAGAATATTGCTGTTACATGCGGTGCATCAGGAAAATTAACTACGTCATTAGTTAAATATTGGCGTAATGAGTGTCTTATTCCATCACTGACATCGCAGCCTGTATTACTTCTTTCTGATAGTTGGTCCTAGACAGACATATGGAAAAGGCATTTATGAATCGATTAAAAGACTTAAGCAGCTAGAAACTTCATGGAAAACAAGTTCTACCATTCAGCCGCTGGACGTCTTCTTTAATAGACACTGGAAAGTGACCGTTCGTAGGGCTCACGAGCGTGTTCTTCTTGATAGAATAGACATTCATCTTGCACAAAGAAATAATATAATTCGCTTACAATCGATTATTCATAATCAATTTTCTTCTCCAGTTTTCGTTCCTGTGATACGATATACATGGTTCAAAAGCAAATACACTGATGTTGATCCTCGACCATTTCAATCAGTTACACAAGTATGCTTCAAATTCAAACAAGATTACAGTGACGTACATTCATGTGATTAATATGCATTCATTCGATGTAGCCACTGTAGCAAAATATTTTGTTTTGAGGACTTTTTTGTTAATTTTCATATCCATGATATCTGACTAATCTAAGCCAGTGTTCTGTTTTCATTGTTATTCCACTATGCTTGTTTTTTTGCCACAGTAATCATGCATACATTATAGAAAAATGTATATTCAAAAGTATTGAAAAAAATACAGGAAAAGACCAAGCTTTAGTTTTCAACAGCAAATAATTAATTAATTCCTGCAGAATCTGTAGCATTTTTCAAACCGACTTTTTCTAATTAGTTGGTAAAGTAAAATCGCGAGACTGGAATCATCTCGATTTGAAAAAAACGAGCTGGATCCACGTCCGATCATGTAAAGAAAAAGTTTTTAAACTGCACTCATTTTCTTATATAGAAAAATTTGAATTTTTGGTAAAACTGTAAATATCGCTCGTAACTTGACAATTGATAACCTTTGCTGAAAGCAACTTGCGCACGAACCAACTTAGGATATATCATAGCTAAGTATGCCCTACCTATCCATCACACTCCGAGCCATAAAGCTTTTTGACACCTCGGGTGGTTTCTTCGTCAGATATTGCACCACCGAAAGCACTCTCCCAAGCTAATCGATTTATTGGGAAAGCGGGTTATTATAGGAAATTTATTCGTGATTGCGCAAGATAGCCGCACCTATCCACAAAGTTACGAACAAGATCCGTACGAAACGTCATGAATTCATGTGGGGCCGTGATCAACAAAAAGCCTTTGAACAACTGAAATCAATATTGACAACAGCACCATTGTTTTTGGATTTTCCGGATCATTCTTTTCCGTTTATATTGTCTACTGATGCAAGTGATTATCGAATAGCTGGGATACTCAAACAAAAACTGGATGATTAAATAAAAATCTGTTATTATAAATCCAGATTATTGAACAATGTCGAGCGCCGATACTCAACAACAGAACGCGAGGCATTGGCTATTTACTGGCGCTTAAATGAGCTACGGAATTATATCGGTGACTCAGGAATCACCACTGAGACTGATCACAAATCACTTGTTAATATGCATCGGAAGAAATCTTTCTGAAACAAACGGATTGAAAATTGACTTATTTAGTTACAAGATTTGATTCCACAGATTCTTGAGATCAAATACCGACGAGCTATTGTTAATGTTGGACCGGATTACCTTACTAGGTATGATACAAATATTGATGACACCACCACGCACTCATGTTCTGTTATTATCCGATCAATGTCAAAACAAGCCGAAACACCATCTACAGCACCTGAAACAACATCCTCAACAACAAACACTACAACCAACAGTTCCTGCTGATACAAAAGGTCCACCAACACCGGTTCATTATCTTGATTTGAGCCTGGAAAGAATCCAAAGGGAACAAAGTTTCGATGCTGATATTCAAAAGATTCTGACTCAGATGCATGAACCACTCATGCATAACTTTTTATTATATAATAATCTCTTATATCGTCTAATAGATCAGAAGAAAAGTGGTACAAGAAAGAAACTCCCGTATATTCCCGGATCAATGATCCAGATGGTACTCGGAGCGTTTCATGATCATCCATTAAGTGGTCATTTTGGAGTGTAAAGAACATTACACAAAATGCGATCCCGATTTTGGTGGCCATAAATGTGGGAAACAATCGAGAATTATATTGCATCATGGTCTCAATGTGCAAAATTCAACATCGTACGTGGAAGACCATACGGCCGCCTCAAATCGTACGAGCCACCCAATGACGTTTTTCAAGTTGTGCACATGGATCTTTGGGGACCCGTGCGTCTATATGCAACTGGCAACCGATATGTAGTAGTATTAACAGACAGTCTTTCAAAATATGTTATTGCAAAAGCTCTGCCAACTAACTCCGCATATGACACTGCTAGTTTTCTTCTAAAACACTTTATTTTAGCCCATGGTGCTCCTCTGCAACTAATAACCGATCAGGGTGTCCATTTCAATAATAAATTAATGTTGAACCTCATGCAGTTAACAGGAATCAAGCATGATTTTTCGACCACGTATCATCGAGAAAGTGACGGGCAGGTAGAGAGGTTTAATGCTACCTTTTGTACACAATTGGCGAAATACTACGATGAGAATAAGAACGACTGGGATATGTATCTTCAGCCAACTATATATGCCTACAACACTAGCGTTCATGCTACTACAGGATTTGCTCCATAAGAACTTGCTTATGGTAGAAAACAACGAACTCCATTTGATTTCGCAACTTAACCTACTCTTCCCGATGAGCTAAATCAATTCTATACCCGCTTACAGAAGACTCGGCAGCTTATCCTCCAACAAGCTCAGCACAGTACTCGACATCAACGTCGACAAATCCAACACCAGTACAACAAACGTCGTAGAGATATTTGTTTCATTACCAATGATTTTGCATTTCTTAAAATATACGGAAATCGAAGCAAATTGGATGAACGCTGGATTGGGCCATGCAAAAGAGTTGAAAATCACGGTTCACAAAATTATTTACTAGAAAGTCCTGATGGAAAAGTAACATCAGCCCATGTCAATCAACTACGTCCGATGGTGCATAGAAACATTAATTCTAATAATCTATCTTAAACGCCACTGTCAGTCGAAATATCACCGACTAATAGTGCTTGCTCCATTCTTATACTCTCTACGGTAACTTCACACACCAATTTTCGTGTGGCAAATATTGGTTTGAACTCTACGGCGCGGTTTCTTAATAGTGTTATTTAAACGTTTTATTTCTTTTGTTGTTCTGTTTGTCGTTTAACCCTTTTACTCTTTCTTGCTCATTCTGATGCGCGGGACGCAGATCTTTTCTGTACGGGGGAGGTGTTATGATCTGATATCGTGATCCGATTATAATGATATCTGCATGGAATGGTCCTTCAAAGGAATTATCCATGCTTCTTCTCTGTTCTATACATACATACATATATATGTATATATATATAGTTTCTTTCGTTCTGCTTTTGACCTGGATACATTGCTCTTTTGGTATTTTCCTAGTGACAGGCCATGATGTCATTAACTTAGGTATTTTCCTATGAAGGATTGCATATATATATATATCATATGTTGTTGCTGAAGTGTGTGGAGATTGATAACAAAACATATATTCAATAAACAGTATCGATTAGAACATAAGACATAGAACTTCCTGTATTTGTATTTTTGTCGAAGTTCAGTTTATTTTCGGAGCAGGTAATAAAATCTCTGTTGTTCTAAAAGTCTGATTTGAAAAAAGACGATAGAGTCCCGTAGATAGTAACGAATGCAGCTTGTGCTGATCAGACGAACTCAAAAGTAAGCACTTTCATGTGTTTTTGCTCATGAACTCTGCAGAAAACTACAACTTCATAACCAAATAAATTCATTTATGTTGATTAGCATATTTAAGCGCCTATATTTGAAGTATCTTTTTGTTTTTCAGCAAAAAAAGTGTACTACATGAAATTTCTCTTTTAACAGATGTAGGGTCCCTCAAGGAAGCAAAACCAAGAAATTGCTTAGATACCATTTTGAAGTGGGCGTGTCGGAGTATATACTCTACGAAAAAATGCCCCCTCAAGTATTCGCTAACATGTCCTTAATTTTGTAAATTACAGTGGGTCTCAAAAAGTAGCTGGAGAGTTCATTTTTCCACATAGGCATGTACTTCCATCCGCGGCCTATTGAACGGTAAAAAATTTCATAGTAAATAACTGTATGAATTTCATTTTGATCATTTATTTCCTTATATTTGATCATTATTAATTCGTCAAAGCCATCTAATGAGCCTCCTAGCAGAAGTGAAGTCTAGATAACGATAGCTAGTCTCTCCCAAAATTATTCATTTTTACCGTAAGAATAGCCACAATTTATTATTTCCAATATATTTTCCAAAATATGGGTGTTAGTAAGAAACTGTTAGTTTCACCATTAATGAAGAACATCGTGATTAATACATAAAAAGTTATTATTTAGTAAGAATCAGTTGCAGCATTTTGAGTAGTCACAGTAAACGTAGCCCTCTGGCAACCATTCATAAAAGTGTTAAGCTACTACCGCTCTTGGACACTTGAACGAAGAGACACCAAGGAAATGGAGCATTAAGTGGATGTACTTCTATTTCATCCTGTTCTGTCCCATTTTCGTGTACTATACTCAACCGACGCTCATCGCAATTCAATGTCAACACATATATATTGGAGCCGTTTCCATTTGGTTCAATTCCACTAAAAGTAGGTATTCCATTGCATCTGCGTCCGACATATGTTGACCAACCATATGTCGAAGGAGTCCCATGGTAGGCACTCCAGGCAAATTCGTCGGGCACAGGAATTACATTACGCGACCGTATACCCAGGAACACATCACCATAATTTACTTTTATCCGAACAGAGTGAAGTCCAGAAGTATACGAGTGTTTCCCTGTCGCACATCCACATAAACCGCGTTTCACTGTCTCGCATGTTCGGCCATCGTCAATCACACGAATTGCATCTTCATTAGTTTTGTAAATATCTTGAAACTTCTCGTCTAATACCACGTGCACCACATTAGACTCTGGAGTCATTATGTTTGACGCCATTTGTGATTGTTTATTACCAGTCGTTTCTAAAAACGAAAATGGTAGCAGAATGGCTTGTGATCATTCTTCTGTTCGTTGTTTTACTAACTCTTTATGTAACACGTATACTTTTTCAATCATCAGATAATCGAGATTTCAAGTTTTAAAGGATAATACAGCCTAAGCTGTAACACGTGCCACGCGATGACGTTTTATTCTCTCGGCTGAAAAGAGGCTACACTAAAAATAAATGCGAAAACTTCAGACTTTATCCGAAATTTGATCTACAAAAACAGATAAGATCTCCGAGTCTAAGCATGAAAATCCCAAAAACTTCTTTAGACTTGCGGTTTACTTCAGTCAAAAACTAAAACANAAACAAACTTTAACGAGTTTTAACGCGGCTATAACCCTTTCTTTCAGAAAAGGGAATTACATGTTTCAAAATGAAATTCGATCTAAAATATGAATAAAATGATGAATATTCACTTGTAATGATGAAATTATCCTTAATTATTAATACATTGGTACATAATTTCAAAATTTCGGTTGTTGAAGCAAATAGACAAGATGTAAAAATGTTTTATATTGTATTTTATACTTAGAAAACATTATGTATCATTATTTACATCTATTGTTCGTAGATTACTTGTAAAATTAGCAATAGAATGACAAAAGGTGGTATCCAATGCTATTAAGCGTCTTAGTTACATTAGAATTTCTTGACAAAATGATTGATGTCACATTAATAGTTATTTCTAATAAGCGATAAAAGATAAATGTCTAGCTCACATATTTTTTCATCAGAAATGAGCAACGATTGTCATTTATTTCTTCTAATTCTTTAATCATTACTTTTGTTCATATGCCAAGATTAAAACAGATTTAAGGTATTTTCTTAACTTTGAAACTGGATATTCTATCGTTTTCCTGTATGTAACCTGATATACAAATTAAAATCTATGTACCTTTATAAATTTGAACTTAAGAAATGAAAAAAATAGTCATAGGATGACTGTTGAAATTAATTGAAGATTCAAGATTACACTTACCAATTTATCATCACTATATTCGACGCTTGCACGGCCATATAGGAGACAAAATTAGAAACGAAAACAACTCAACTAGCATATAGTTAACTGTGAAAAAGAATGAAGAGTGATTATTTTTTTCTCATGACCTATATAATAGCTGTTTCTACTGAACTTTGGTCGGCCTTGGCATTCCTTCTTTCAGAACGAATAGTTTCATCTCTGATTGAATAACGGCACGTTGCAAGGACATAGTTTCGAAGCACCCCCCTTTAAAAATTCTTTTCTCATTTTCATGCATACTTGCATGTAGATAAAATGAATAATTCGTATATGCGTCTGTCTAAAATACCAATTTTCAAGCATTCTCTCATGTAAATCAGTGGGAAGAATGCTTTCCCACCTACATTCCTTCCCAGAAAAGGCCAAAGTTCATCTTCTTTCAACGGCTATATAAACCAGCGCCATTTTCATTACAATACTCATTTTTCATCTGCTCCACAAGTAAGTTAAATACTTCTTCTTCTAAACTACAAATTACCACTATTTCAACTGATCTACAGGCCTCAAACAACAAATTCGGATATCAAACAATTGTGTCAAATTATACAGAAATACAATCGAAAAATATTTCACATCAATTACAAATCAATCAATTATCATTAACTCGAGGAAATTGGTTCTCATCCATAAGCCCTTCCACCTGGAAAAACAACAGTCTTCACTTGCAGTCGGAATAGACCACAACG